AGACATGGAGCATATGGGTGTAGCAGTTGGCTGAACTACAAGGTATGCACCAGTCGCAGTGGTGCTCCAGCTTCAGGAGATGAAGCTGGTAACGCACCAATCGACAACGATATCATTGTTCAATGGATTGGTGTGTAAAAATCTTAACCGGAAACCATCAATTTTCCCATGAAATCTTGGCAACGATAATGTGCAACTCTTGCTGATGATGAAGATGATCAACGTGATGTCAATGTGGCAGCCAACAACCACTGTATATCACTGAGATTCGAAACCAACAAACATACATAATTTGTAGATAGCTACGAACCGTTGGGTTTATGGTAGTTATAGCTATTATAACTATAGGTAGTTGGGTCCACAACATATTATGAAGTATTTAGTAGATATAACTATAGTTAATTGGGTTTATGGTAGTTAGTAGCTATACAGAACTCACAAACTACCTATTATAACTATATAGTTAGTTGGTTTTATGACCTTTACGGAAGATAGAGTAGATATGATATAACTATTAACCGTTGGTTGTCTTGTAGTTATACAGAACTAACCATTATATAACTAAAGTAATATAACTAAAGTAGTTGGCATTGCACACGAACAAATATAGTTGGGGGCCCACCGTGGGGAAATCGAGCGCTGTTTGGTTGGTTCCATCCCCACCCAGAATAATGAATTGGATAAGTTTGAGTGTTGTTTGTTTTTTGCATTTTGATGAACGGTAGTTGGGAATTTAATGTGTAATTTAACAGATTACTGTATAGAACAAATGCTGTATCGATTTTGTTATTTTATCTTCCTGCTACCACATACCCTCAATACCTCCTGCCTAGACAGCTACACAACCCTCAGTTGCATTGTAGATGATCGTTCTGTGCAATAGAGATTTTGATGCCAATGTTTGCTTGCAACGGAGGGGTAGGGTCTCAGTTAAAGAACAATCCCATATCATATGTGATTTGTGCCTGACACTGGGGTATACCACCCACGGATATGACCATTTATGACCATTGAAGTAGGGAAATTTCCGAAAAAAACAAGAAAAAACAGTGATTGTTTACTATAAATCACTGACTTTCCATCTGTTAGACGAGAGTCTCACAATGTTTCACGGGTCAGTTGTTGCTTGGGACCGATCGATGTTCTCAGGTCCTCCAGAGCGATGTTGGAGCAGAAGGCTGGGCACCTGGCCGCATCCAGGCCGTCACCAACATAACCAAAGGTACCCTCTGGTAAACTAACATAGCTATTGAAAATGGTGATTTATAGTGGATTTACCCATTAAAAATGGTGATTTTCCATAGTTATGTTAGTTTACCAGAGGGTAACCCTAAAGTCACCAGCGTTTTTTGGAGTTGAATCATTTGAATCCCAGAATTTCGGCATTTCGGAGTTCGCTTAGAGGATTAGGGCGGAAAAAATCGCCCAAGGGGAAGGAATTGAAGGAATAGAAGGCGGTTTTTTACACTGCAAAATGTCTGTTTTGCTTGTGCTCAACATTACAAATCTATGTGCAAGCCTAATTAGTCAAAGTTCATTAGTTGTCAATGAATACCCAACATGTATAGTATCCAGAAATTCTGATCACATTTCCACGTGATGGCCTTTCGTGCTATTTCTACAGTGGAAAAGGATCGATGTGCCCTCTTTGAATGAATCATGAAAGCCCTAACAGAACGAATTCACAGCTCAATATGAAATGAGGAAATAACATAATGCAGTAAAATAACATTGTAATTATCCCTAACATAAGTTAATAAGGGCTCATATTGTCTCGTTTACTGATAACGTTGGCCCTCTGGTAAACTCACTGGAGGGACGTGACCACGGAGCAATGGGATGGCGCAGGATTTCGCCAGGGATTTCACTTCACACGTTGGCCCAATCGGTGTACAGTGTCCTACGGCACCATATGCTGGTTGGTGGTTTGGAACATGGCCTGGTTAATAATGATTAATACTGGTTTAATAGGGGTTAATAATGGTTAATGAGATATCTGGTTGGTGGTTTGAAACATAGCTTTTATGACTTTCCATATCTTGGGAATGTCATAATCCCCACTGACGAACTCCATCATTTTTCAGAGGGGTAGGCCACCAATCAGATAGGATGGCGAATACATACAGTCTTGCTAATACATTAATTGCATCATAGAGCAAAATTACTTTACTTCGTGTGATCCCCACCATGACATTTATACATTTTCTTACTGGCAAATCTTCTGGCATTCTATCTGGCATATCTTCTGGCATATGTTCTGGCATATCTTCTGGCATATCTGGCAAATCTTCTGGCATTCTATCTGGCATATCTTATGGCATTCTATCTGACATATCTTCTGGCATTCTATCTGGCATATCTTCTGGCATTCTATCTGACATATCTTCTGGCATTCTATCTGACTTTCCATCTGGCATATCTTCTGGCATTCTATCTGGCCGTTGAGGTCCGGCAGTGCCCACTGGGATCTCGAGCTCGTGGTTGAGGTCCAGCAGTGCCCACTGCGATCTGGAGCTCGCGGTTGAGGTCCGGCAGTGCCCACTGCGACCTGGAAGTCTCAGTTGAGGTCCGGCAGTGCCCACTGCGATCTGCAACTCGCGGTTGAGGTCCGGCAGTGCCATTGGGATCTTGGAGCTCGCGGTGGAGGTCCGGCTGTGCCCACTGGGATCTGGACTGCGAGGAGGAGGCGGCGGGTGAGGAGGCGGAGGAGGCGGAGGAGGAGAAGAGCTCTGTTAAAATCTAGCAACCCTCACCTGGCAGGTGGGGAAAAACAGTATTGCTTCCGTTTGTATCGCAACGGAAAGTCCAAAATGTCCAATGTTTCATGGTGTCCCAAGGTGCGGTGGTGCCCCAGTTCGTTAGTCGTTGGTAACGTAACGTTACAAACCGGGCCTCGGATTTATGGATGTTGATGGATGTTTATTGGGTCGGTAATTGGTAGATATATCGACCCAATAGTTACCCGCTGGTAAACTAACATAGCTATTGAAAATGGCCTTTGATAGTGAATTTACCAATTAAAAATGGTGATTTTCTATAGTTACGTTAGTTTACCAGAGGGTAAATTCAAAGTAATTGGATCCAATTTCGATGTAACTGACTCTCAGCCAGGAGTATAGTATACTGTAGCTACATTGTTTTTTTTTCTCAGACCATCAAACACTGGGACGATGACTCGCCGACTTGCCTCCAGCAATAGTTGAGTGGCCTGGGGCCTTTTCTTACCCTGTTATGGCACCTCCAATGGCTTTATCTAATTGAAAAAACATATCTATAGTTCTTATAGTTATGAATTAGTATATCTATAATATTCTATAATTCTGAATTTGTTTCAATAACTTTGTAAATTCAGATCGCTTCATCCCTATCCACATGAATCATATGGGCCCGGTGGGCCCACAGGACGAAGTCAAAGCAGCACAGGCGGGCATTGCCGGCTTTTAGTCTTGGATTTCTTGGAGATTAGCCTCCGGTAAACGTTTACATAGCTATAGAAAATCACCATGCTTTTCATGGGTAGATCAACTATTTCGACTGGGCCATGAATTCAATAGATTAATGTTGGTAAAACAATCCCTATGGATCCAGCCGTATCTTCTTAGGAAGTGGGACTGGGGTATGATTTGGGGGGTGTCTTGTACCTTCTTAGACAGTGTTCGGATCGATAGGGAAGAATCAACAACCCAATTTCACGATAAATAGGTTGTATTATAGTATAAGCCATCAAAAATGGGTTGATTTATTATGTTTTACCCACATTATTCCATGTTTTTCCCAATGAGAAATCCACCACTTGGGGAATCAATTGAGGGAATATACGTTTACTTTTTGGGGCTTCCAAAAACGCTAGGGTCCAAGTTGGGACACTGGGACATTGGATTCCCACGGATGAAGGGGAATAATGGATATTTCATGAGAATATCTAGGAACATAGCTATACAATGGGAAATATCCGCTGGGGATACAATGAAAATATGATGGTGGTATTTTGGGTATAGCTAATAACCAAGCAATAGTAGTTTATGTTCTGATGATTTGTTGCAGTTTGCTATGGAAAACAACCCATTTGGTTTGATGAATTGCCTAACTTAAAAACCATTGATTTTCAAAAGCTATGTTATAATTGATAATTACCAGACGGTACAGCCAGCAAAAAATGAGTTGGGATAGAATCAGCATTGGAAATGTGTGTATAAATGGTGATGCAACTGAAAACGTTATCGGGGATTTAACCTGCAAACATGGCAGTATTGTGTGAACATCCGAAGGGGCAACATGAGTAAAACGCCATCAGAAGATGAACCACATACGTTTGATTTGTCCTGGCATTTACTTTAAACAAATGCAGGGAGTGGGAACAATGATGATGCATTTACCTGACAACATCGAGTCTAAACCAATGTGATGCTAAACCACTGCCCCTTAAGTTGGAGACGTTGGTGACCTGTTGCCTGTTGGGTTTGCAGAAGATGCCCAGTGGGATGGTCAGCCATGCCAGTTATGCCAGCTTCCAGCACGGTTTGGGGAACACCAACCACACCAACCGAGCCAGAAATGAAGCCAACATGATGCTCCAGTTTAGGTTGTCAGCCATGGGTTTGGTGAGCCATGTATAGCATGGAAAGTACAGCAGCATGTTTAGCATTCGCCTCCTAGCGGCGGTAGAACATCGGTGACAGCAATGTGGGAAAATGCCATAAACATTAAACCATTATTAAATATCAATAAGCCATCCCTGTCCCTGTTGCAGGGTTTATTGGGTGTAAAGCCACAGTTATGGCCATTTATTGGTTATAACTCGTTATTTCTACGGGATTATACATACGTATATATACAATATTATACATTCTATAAATGGGGTTATTTCATGATAATTGGTATTTTGGGCGATAACTGTATAACACTATGAAACGATGATAAGATGTTATGTTTGTTATAATATTTATAGATGGGTCTCCCTTCAACCGGACGTTTCCCATGTTTCCGACGAGAATTTTGCCATGGCCTCCGGCCTTGTGACACCGGCGGCCGTGAATGCCCCAGTTGGGTTTCAACATGGTGCCAAGCTGGGCTTGTGAAAATGGAATAGCATATGGGATAATATGCAATATTATTGAGATATATATTTGTTGGTTTTGATTGTTCACTCTGGATTGTTTATTTTGGGGATCCACTGAACTTGCTGATTTGTTTCTTCCGCCCTTTCGTCAGCTGATTGCAAAGATCAATCCTCAACCAATTTTGCTTCGTCAGAGTGGCAACCCCTCTACGACCGTTGACGGGTCACAGAAGTGACGGATCTTCCACCATAGGCGACTGCAAGTGATGAGCATTGGGATGTTTTTGTTGGGATGGCGCGATGGCGCCACACTCACCACAAAGAATTGATGATTCCGGAAGATCTACCCTCTGGTAAACTAGCAGAACTATGGAAAATCACAGTTTTCAATGGGTAAATCCACTATAAATGGCCATGTTCAATAGCTATATGTTTATTTACCAGAGGGTATCTGGATAAATTGTAAGGACCTCACTGCAACGCCATCGTAGATCATCAGATTGGTCAGTATACGGGGGATCACCAAGTGGCCGATGTTGATGATTTGATGGTGGTTTGTGACTCAAATTAGTAGAAATCCAACCGGATAGATAGATAGATAGATAGATAGATATAGATATATATATATAATATATATATATACACATACGTATGTGTGATATGGAGATGTAGATCAACCATTGTCAAGCACATTGGGAACATATTGGAAGTGGGGTAACAAAGATATGTCTCAGATCACCAAAGAAATCAACTTGGGACAATCGGGAGTGAAACGGAACGTGCAACGTTGGTTCACAGAGTGCCACGCGACAGCAACAAGATTCGACCCATCCAGAGACGGCCCCAAACGCGCAACAAGTCCTAGCCATTGGCAAATCGCCCCTCTACATGTCGTTTTGATGTTGGTGATTTTTGTTTCATAAACAGATAATTGAACGAACAGATCCTTGCTTTATGCTTTGTCATGGGGTTATATATACTCAAGTTTTGGACAAGTCCCATTTGTTCTTCGCTGTCCCACAGCCAGCAACGATTTTTTTGCAGCACCAATATCTGCAGTTTCCTCAACTTGCCGTCGAGGCAGAACATGGAAAAAACCACATGGGATGGTGAACACATCTAAGAACCACAATTTCTGGCAGCATGGTCCCAGCCATTTCGTTCAACGACTCACCGTGTCTCCACCGTGTTTCTTCGGCCACGTTGGCTCGCGCGCTGTCGAGCTCGCCATGACAGCTTCAAGCATGGTGTCGCAGTACTCGACGTTTCACCAGCACCTCCAGGCTGGCAGTGGGTGACGGCTTTTACCCTCTGGTGAACTAACAAAAAGCAATGGAAAATCACCATTTTTAATGGGAAAATCCACTATTTCTATGGCCATTTTCAATTGCTATGTTAGTTCACCAGAGGGTAGGTACCTTACTGAAATTGATGGAAGCCACGAAACATGTGGCTTGGGAGCTGCTTTTCTTGGTGGAAATTGTTTGTTTTTGAACTCCAGATTGGTTTCCGCATTGATGGCATTGATTCAAGCAAGATCTGAAGAAATTGAGAAAATGTGATGGTAGTCGCTGGTTGGCTTTACTCCGTTCTTCCCGACTCGATATCCAGATGTGTATGGCTCAAAATGATTGTCCCCGATCTCATACTAAGTCATGGTCTACAGTGGATGATTTGGGGGACCCCCATGACGGGACAGGCATCCCCATGGACCACAAGTTTTTTCCCCGAAAAAAGCACTTTTTTTAGCCCACGCGAGTTGTCACTCTAACATTCTCTGTTTAAGAGGTCTCAATTCGAAGTTCCAAGCTGCTCTCCGGTCCCGTTCAACGGAAGGCATTGACGGGGGAATTTGAACGCATCTTGGCGGAGAATTTGGAGATGCGAAAAGAGTTGCACAACGAACCCATGCACCTTGGACGTGCACTGAGGGGGTTGAGCTTTTAATTTACCTACATTTGGGAGTGGTTAACACTGGTGAATATAGTGGTTAATAGATGTTAATATTTAATAGTTGTTTGTAATGGGCGATGGGGAGAGAATGGTCCGAACGGTTAATAGTGGTAATTAGTAAAGAACAAATGTCGCTAATGGTGAATAATGATTATATAGTTGTCGGGTAATTTTGGTGGATATTGGGCTTATAAAGGATGATAATTGTTCATCATGGGTGATACTGGTTATATAATGGCTGATAATCTATAATGATGCTTTATAATGGTTAATTAAATATGTGTTTTTTTAAGTAAGTTTTTTATTAGTTAAAACTATTTCCAAGTGATTGATAATGACTAATACTTGATCATATTGGTGAATAGCGGTTTATATTGGTCAATAATGGATGATAATATATGATAATGGTATAGGTTTACCGTATGTTTCTCGCACACTCGTCGGGATGCAGGCAACCAAAAATTCCTACTTAAACCTCCTGGTGGTTCATATCAACAACATTAAAATACTTTCACCCTAGTTATAGCATTGACCAAAACATGCTAACGTTGGGGCACTAATTACGAATCTTTTCAGCCCATCACCGAAAAATCCTCGGATTCGTCGGTCAGTTGGTCGCCCAGCAAGGTGAGCCCCACAGTTAGTTGCTTTGGAAAACCACATCTTAACCATAGTTTTTTTTGAGCTACTCCTCCAACAGTCATGATCTGATACTTTTTTATGGTACCCTCCCAATTAAACAGCCGGGCTAGGGTTTATTAATCCAGGGTTGACATTAATCATGTTGCTTATTTTGCCAACAAATCCTTATTGGAGTTATAGACCAACACATGCCCCGGAGTGAAATTGCTGGAAATAACTAGGTAATCGATTTGATTTATAGTAGAATATCTATCTGTGCATCCATCTATCCATCTATCCACCTATCCATCTATCAATCCAGTTAGTCAGTGGGGTCTATAAACCGTTTCAAACTACACATCAGCATCTATAGGAAAAGCCTCTAAGATACCATCTGTTTTTTAACATAGCCATGGAAAATCACTATTTTTAATAGGTAATCCATCTATAAATGGGCCATCTATACCATGGCGATGTTAAATTACCAGAGGGTACATCCATTTTGTGATTCTCCCCGCATTTCAACCATGGCTATCCACTGGCCGCAGAGGTGGCTGCTCCGTTCATTGGTCGCTTGGAAAAACGACGAAACGCGCCACGTTGTTCGGGCTGGGGCTTCCTCTGAGGATTTAATGATGGATATGAATGGACCTTGATGATGTTAATGGATGTTAATTTGATATATATATATAATATATATATAATCAATATTATGATATTATCTATGATTTTAGCATCCCCCGTTCATATGAAACACCCCATAAACGATCCCAAATAAGTGTAATTCCCGTACTAAACCATGGTTTCTAGATGGTGTTTAGTATATACTAGGAAGGGAGTAGTCAACAAACGTCGAGATATCTCATGGGGTCGAACCACCCAAAATTTGGGTTTAACCACGTTACAACGGTTTAACCATGTTTAAACGGTTTAACCATATACATGTTGCTAATATGATCTTATGTGGGATTTGATTTAACCAACAAAACATGCACGTGACCTTATTTCAGACTTGGCAAGATCAATCAACGTAGCTGGAAGTGGAATAAAGCCTGGTTTTCAACCAATGGTTGACCCAGTGAATATGGAATCCTACTCTATTGTTGGTGAATACGCCCATTTAGATCAATACCGATTAATGCTTGAGGTAGTGGTTGAGGTATCATCACCGCCGTAGGTAAATCACTAATTTATATGTCATTAATAAAAGGCAATACCAATAGCCATTTAGCTCATATCCAACCAACGATATCCAATGGTCAACTGGTGGTTGGGGGGGAACGATGCTTTGGAATTGTGTGGCGCTACCCCATACATTTAAAGCATAAAAGCATCTTAAAACCCTTTATCAGCTATTTCTATGGTTATAACTGGTTAATTGTTTGGGGTCATTCTATAAACCTTATGAAAAACCATGTCATTGTTCACGTTCATTTAAATATATTTAAAACATTTTTATATTGAATTTTATAACTGGTGAAATGCTGGGGTCAATGTTACTTCTTTCTGGATATGGAAAAACGGGTTCTTTCACTGCCCTTATGTTTGTGTAAAATTTCACGATCCATGCCGGTGAATCCTGAGACCTGACGACTGGTCAAAGGCAAACAAATTGTGCCAAGGAGGACCCCCAAATTGATATTTATAAAGGTGTTTTCAACTCTGCAAAAACCAGGTTGCTTCATGATTTACAAAACATCCATAGTTTTATTTAGATATTATGGGCATATATTGAACTAAATTTTCCATAGCAACCACCAAACATTTTTTTGAACAATGTTTCCAGGATGGTCGTTGAAAACGATGGTTTTCCACAGCAATTTTTCCGTCCAACTTGTCGGAAAATGCCATGTTGACCATGTTGACCATCGGAAAAATCAACCATTTTTGATGGGTGCTATGTTTAGAATTCCCAGGAAGTCATGGGTGGTAAAAATGGTATAGTTGTTCTATGTTTTTCTCACATTGTTAAGGTTAAAGCATGTTAAATCCATGAGATCGCTGGGGATTCAGGAGATGGAAGGTAGCAAGCCGCCGATGGATCACATCCATCCCAGTCCCAGACAAAATACCCGGAAGGGAACCAACAACTCATCCCAGCCGCGCGGTTCAAAGGGAGACATGTGGAGACATGTTGGAAGTTGGGAAATGATGGGGAGATGGTGCAGGGAGATATATGGAGATATGCCGATATCGTCCGATATCATGATTTAGCTGGGATGAATTGACGATGTTCAACTGGGACAGGTAGCTATAAAGAGAGAGAGGGAGAGAGCTCTACTCTCTGGTAATTTAACATAGCTATTGAAAATGACCATTCATAATGGATTTTCCCATTGAAAACGGTGATTTTCCATAGTTATGTTAGTTTACCAGAGGGTACCATGAAACCATCTTAGTTGAGTATGGGACTGCTTGACTTTTCTAGCGATGCTTCTTTGGCGGTGAGTCACGTCGCCATGATGATTAGGACGCGGGTAAATATCTCCAAATGGCTTTATATTTGGTGAAATACCATATACCCTCGGGTTATGACTAACAGTTTGCCATGGAAAATCACCATGTTTACTAGGCAAACCATCTATTTCAATGGCCATAAATGGGCCATTGAAAAGCCATGGCAAACTGTGAGTCATAACCAGAGGGTAACTCCTATGCAGTTGATCCAGGTGCTTCCGCTCCGCAACTCGCTGAACTAGTTGTTGCACACGTGTTTCCAGGGACCAATAGGTCGAGGCCTGATTCATAGATGGGTCCCCCACATTCACTTACCCTCCAGTTAACCAACATAGCTATGGTATAGATGGCCCATTTATAGATGATTTACCTTTTGAGCATGGTGATTTCCATAGCAAGCTGTAACAAAGTAGTGGAGCTTAAACGTTTGGTCGATTTCACTATGCCATGTTACTTCATGTCTATATCCTAATATTCCTGGATGATTGTTACACATCCCCATATACTGGCGGCAAACGCCAGAAAATCTTTCCAATCCACTGTTAGTCTAGAGTTCAAGGCACATTCTTGGCCAAATCTCCTCATTATACCCTCCAGTAAACTAATCTCGCGGAAAATCCAGCATTGTCTGGATCATATTTTAGGGAGACCCATGGATTCTGTACGTTTACTGATTTTACTGGAGGGTATCTCCACGCCAGTCTATTGTTTCCCCTATCCCCTGGTTTCGATTCATGTCGATATTTCAAGATATTTCAAGTGTGGTCAACGCTAGAAACTCAAGTGTGAACGCTAGATACCATGCTAGAAAGCATGCTAGAAACCATGAAAGATCATGAAAGCATAAGTTTCTATGGCATGCTGCAGGTTTCCCTAGGTTTCCAGAGATCTTCACCGCAGGCTCCGCGTCAGCGGCTCCAGCAGCCCCCGCCACTCGCCGCGCGGTGCTGACAACCTGCCCTTGCCGGGATCGGTGGAGTTGGAGTCGGAGCACACCAGGTGATGGGCTGCTGATGGGGAAAACATGTAACCTTTTCTGGTTGGTGGTTTGGAACATAAATTTTTATTTTCCCCCATATATTGGGAATGTCATCATCCCAACTGACTTTCATATTTTTCTGAGGGGTTGAAACCACCAACCAGTTCTTTTGGGGGGTTTTTAAAGCAGGAATGGCACGGAACAGCTGAGAACTAAATAGGAAAATCTGAGAACTAATGGAGGATGAGTGGGAAAACCCTCGAATTGAATGGATATTGGCATGGGAAACCCGCCATAAAAAAAGGGGGATTCTTAAGTCACGGGGTATCCCCAAGTCACCATAGGTTTCAATACTAAGGCATGGTCGCATGACTTGGATGATTTCAGGGTTCCCCCAAATGGTGATATCAAATTGAAGTGCTGAATGGATCATTCACCTTTGTGATGCTACCAATCCTTTGCAAAGTTGGCAAACATAAGTGGGTTAACGACTGGGTTTATGGTAGATAGCACGAACTAGCTAGTGGGGTGAAAAAAACCTTTAAATTTAAGAACCACAGACATATCCACTATACAGTAATCATTGTATTATTTATATATCATATATTTATTTGTATGTTCTCTAATATGCATCCATTTAACGACAAAAAAAACATGTTTTCCTCATATGGAGGTGTCCTAAAATGGGGGTACCCCTAAAGCATCCGTTTTAACGGGATTGTCCCCCCAAAAAACAATCCAGCTATTGGGATACCCTATGGAAACCTACATATGTTCACCAGCGAGAAACTGGGAATCCGTGCGCCTCCCTTTCTCCAGATCCAAATCTTTGGGAGAGCAAAGGGCAGGGTGGCACAGCAGCGAGTGTTTCAAAGTGCCTGCCATTGAACCTGAAGGTGCCCAGGGGGTCTGGCGCAGGGATTTTGTCAGGAAGATGTACAGAAAAATTGGCCATGGCTATAAACGTTATAACTGGTTATTTCTATGGGATTATAATGATATTATATAATTGGGGTGACTTTGTACTTATAACTGGTATTTCGGGCCATAACTGTAGTAAGTGTACGTATTGCGAATGGTATCGGGCAACGTGCTTGTAGCATGGTATCATAGTGGGACAAATGGGATATCAACGGGGATAGGATTTAAACAGTTTGGTACGGACAAATTATTGAAAATCCTTTAGCTGATGGTATAATAACATGACCCAAAGGTACAATTTATCACATTCGCATGTTATTGGCGTTGTGAACCTACCTAGCTTGGAGCCCCACATTGTGAAGCTTTCATTTAGGGATGGTTATGGTTCTTGCAGTTTAAAAAAGCTGGGATGTTTTGTTTTTTTTCCCCACCTGCCAGGTGAGGGTTGTTAGATTTTATGTCAGTTGCCTGCTCCTCTCCTCCTCTCCTCTCCTCCTCCTCCTGCTCAACCGCGACCCTCGACGCACAGTGTTCTCTGTCGGACCTCAACCACGACCATCCACGCCCAGTGTTCCCTGCCGGACCTCAACCACGACCATCCCCGCCCAGTGTTCCCTGCCGGACCTCAACCACGACCATCCACGCCCAGTGTTCCCTGCCGGACCTCAACCACGACCATCCCGCCCAGTGTTCCCTGCCGGACCTCAACCACGACCATCCACGCCCAGTGTTCCCTGCCGGACCTCAACCACGACCATCCACGCCCAGTGTTCCCTGCCGGACCTCAACCGCGAGTATCCACGCCAAGTGTTCCCTGCCGGACCTCATGTAGGAAGATATGGGACAAAGAATGTGCAGAAGAAAGTTAAAAAATGTCAGACAAGTATGTTATATATTACTTGCAAACTCGCACGTGTGTGGTAGAGTGACCGGGGCAGTGCCACTTCTTACTTTGCAGGTGGCAAAGTTTGAAGCAATCAGTTTGAACAGATGACAGAGTCACTGGGGTGGACAGAGACATTTCCACTTCTGTACCTTTGGAGCTGTTTGCAAAGACGCTTGAGACAGGCAACATCTTACAGCAAGTTACTACAAATTACTTAGAAATGTCATGGTGGGGATCACTCGAAGCAAAGTAATTTTGATATTGGGTCTACCACAGACAGTACAAACCAAACATAGGCACGTAAGGCAAATCACATCCCACACTTTTCTGGTTGAATTATTGAACCAGCATTTACCACTGTATTCCCTTGTCATCCTTTGGGAAAAGTCAACATCGCCGCACTAGCTCTTCAAAACATATCATTGTTAAGTAAATCATTTGCACATATAATTTTCAATTAATAAATGGACATTATAAATTTATAAATCATCATATAAATTGACATTTTTCTAGATATTACCATTGTTTATCATCTATAAATGGGCCATGTAACCCATGGATTCTGCAGACTCTTCGCCATCCTCCCATCCCGTGAGGTCAGCCGCCTGCATTGCACTCGTCGCTTCATTCCAAGGACTGGTTGGAAGTTGCGCAAGGAGGTTGGAAGATTCGCTGGGGGAATCATAGGGAAAGTTGAGGAAAGAATGGGAACATGGTATGAACGCCATTGAAATAGTTGATTTACCCACTCAAAATGGTGATTTTCTATAGCTATATGTAAACGTTTACCAGAGGGTAATGACTGATTGGTGCTTTGGAACCATGGAATTGTATGACTTTCCATTTATATTGGGAATGTCATAATCCCAACTGACTTACTCACTCCATCATTTTTCAGAGGGGTAGGTAGGTATACCACCAACCAGACTATAAATGCAGTATAAATCAAGGTTTAGAGCCGGGAAATCCTCACATCATAGACTTGGATGATGGGAAAAAATTAACCGGAAAACCCAATTCATTTCATGGTAAAAACCCCATGGGTTTCCGGTGAAGATTTTCCCAAAACCAATCCATCAACCACTGCCATGGTGCCATTGGTTACACCCGAAATCGCACAACCAAATCTTCAAGGGGCCACGGCAGAGATCCAGTGGTTCAGTCATCGATCGTTTTTTTTTCCCCGTCCGATGGGGAGATGTGCTTAAGTATCAAAAAAATATCATAAATAAATAGATCAAAAAAACAAGATCACACACATATATATATATACACATAATATATATATAATATATGGATGTACAATGAGAGAGGGAGAGAGACATGTACATCGTTCATATCCGGTAAAACCTCCGGTAAAACCAAGTGATGTCCGCCACCCTTGGCCGTCTGCACCTCGTCCCGTGACTGTCAGGAGACTTCCCTAAGGGAATTCAAAGGCTCCAGCGGCTCTGCTTCCGCAAAGGCGCCTGAGACATTGGGGATACCATCTGGTTATGACTAACATAGCCATGGAAAATAGAGGTTTTAATGGGAAAAACATAGGAAAACCATAGGAAAATGGAGGTTTAGCCTCTAGTAATGACTAACATAGCGATGTTACCATCTGGTTACGACAAACAGTTTGCCATTGAAAGATCCACCCATTTTCAATAGGTAAACAATCTATTTCTATGGGCCATCTATACCATGGCTATCCAGAGGGTATATTGGAGGGCTTTAGATCAGCAAATATCAAATTGGGATGTGGCAAAGCCATCACAACTAGAGTTATGGTTCTAAAAAATGCCGCATAAAAATGGAATGATAAGCCCAATTCATGACTTATTCATAACCGTAACAATCACTGGAAAAGGGCTTTGACTGATATGATTTGAGATTTGGTAACCCTCCCCCCAAAAAGAACCGAGGGTGGGCACCCCCCCGTGATGTTTGTTGGTTTTTAAGCCCGTCCAACTAATTCCTTATGACTACGAACTAAACATCGGACGTTATCATCGTGATTTCAACCAAGGTAGCCAACTATGGGCCCGCGAACATCCAATTAGATGTCTCAATGGATAGGTTTTAGTGTGCCGATAAATGTATAGTGTTCCCTGTAATGATATTTACTTCATATTTCCAGGTGCCCCACTTTATCTCATCATTTTTGGGCTATAGGTTAACGATGGGTTTATTGTAGAATTTGAAAGTCCCACTAACTCAGTTTGACGTCTGGGTTGACTGGGTTGATTGTTGATTATCAGCACCTTTTTGTGCGCACAATGACATCATGTGACTTTTAGGAAGAGCCGAACTCCTGAATTGAATTCAAGCGGTTGTCTTGCTTATTCATTGAGGGGCATACCACAATTGTGAATCTTGCTGGGTGTTCAACGGATTGAATTGGAAAACGTGCAATAAACGTAAAAAGGAGTTGACCATCATAGAAGTAAACCGGAAAAGCCTGTAAATGTTTCCTCAAACCAACTCTAGGATGTTGGGAACACCCTCTTCAAGATGGTGCTAAATCGTGACATGTTGGTTTCTATAACATCCTCTGAAAAACTTCGATTGCATCATAAACCATTTAGGTTGTAGCATACTTTTCCGGAAAAAAGAATACGCATTTCTTGATAGGTTCAGGATTTTGTTGCAACGAATTTCGTGACCTCAGACGCCTTGGCTTGTCATACGTTCTAGAAAATTCGATTCCTAATGGTGTTTAGCAGGGACTGAGGGAATGATCCATAATCGCTAGAATCACTAGCAATAATCATCCCATTCCCCCATTCCCATCCATTCCCTACTAAGCACCAGTAAGGATTGTATGACTTTTCAGGATTTGCGGGAGTTTAACGTTTTGCGGTGTCACAAGCTCAAAATAAAACACATAAAACCACATGTCATGCAGAAACCTTGTAGCCTGCGACATCCACAACGCATTGGTTTTGGATGACTTTCAAAGAAATTGAGTCAAATAAGGAGTTTTGATCAATTTGACATCGTTTGGCACAAAAAAGTCAAGTCACGTCCTAGAATTCCGTGAATTTCCTAGGATTTGGAAGGTCCAGGATAGGTTTTATGTGGTTTTATCACGAAAGCTAGCGTCAGCTAGCTGGAGTCTTCTTGCTTTAGCAAGTATTGGGGGGGCTGCTCAAGGACATCACGTGATTTTTCACGCGAAAGGGGGGGACCCCCCCCTCCCCCACCACCACCACCATCACCACCATCACCACCATCATCATCATCATCATCGTCATCATCATCGTCATCATCATCGTCATCATCATCGTCATCGTCATCGTCCTCTCCATCTCTCGTCCTCGTCCTCGTCCTCGTCATCATCATCATCCTCGTCATCATCATTCATCATTCATCATTCATCATTCATCATTCATCATTCATCATTCATCATTCATCATTCATCATTCATCATTCATCATCATCATCATCATCATCATCATCATCATCATCATCATCATCGTTATTCAATTACATTTTATCATTATTGGCAATTATTGTCATTATCACGAAAGCTAGTGTCAGCTCGCTAGAGTCTTCTTGCTTTAGCACGTATTCCGGGGCTCCCCAAGGACATCACGTGATTTTTCCCGCGAAAGGGCCCCCCCCTGCCCCCTCCCCCATATATATCATTGTTATATATCATATATCAATATATCATTGTTGCATCCTCGTTGGGACGAACAATGCCGCGACACGATGATGACAGTCCCTCCGCAACTCACCTCTTCCCTTCCTTCTTTCTCCTACCCCGCTAGCTTTCGTCATCCACCCCCGGCCTCAAGTTGGAATTAATTGGACGCAGAAACTTAACTAACTGACTATGAGGTCACTGCTAAGCTATTCTATGAATCAGTCCTACATCCCACCGCTCGAGGTTCACGAGATCGAAGAGTTTGAAGCAGCGGAGAATGTGAATTTCCTGTGTCTCGGATCGAAGTTATGTGGTTTTATTGGAGTTGATTATAGTAATGGCTTACCCATAGGATCCATGTATGCTATATATGGTGACATTTACCATCAATATACCCCAAATGTTAGCATATATACCATACATGGATCCTATGGGTTATAGTAATGGCTTATGTTTTTTATGGTTTATTGTTTAATGTTTTCTTACAATAAATAATAGGTTGTAAGTATATAAACCATTCACAGCTGCGATGCACATCCCAGTAAGGCAACCATTGATTGCGTGTCAGTGGTTCTTGTGGAGATATTGACAGTTGAATGGATGAAACATGATGACACTAAAACTTCGAACTGCGGGCCATCACTTTGTATTGGTTCCGTTCCAACTGCCGCCGTTCCTATCGAACTGCGTTTGCTATTATAGATGGATGATATGGGTGATAGACTGTTCTGAATATCTTCAAAAGCCTTGTGTGGGGGCATCAGACGTGGGAATCCTACAAATTAAAGGTGTGGCTGCGCAATGCGTTTTGAGTTGTACTAACTGGTTGGTGGTTTGGAACATGGCTTTTATTTTTCCATTAATATTCCATATATTGGGAATTTCATAACTTCAACTGATGAACTCATATTTTTCAGAGGGGTAGGCCCTAACCACCAACCAGTAGGGTCCCCTACTTTGATGGGATTGGATCATAGAGGCCCCCAGTCAACGATAGCCAACAACCAATAGCTAGATGATAATCAACAATAGCCAACAACCAAAAGTAGTTGTCACAGTTGTTTTCTGAGGTTGTGAAAATATGATAAAAGTAGATGCCAAATCGACCCCTACTTTTTATAACCTCAAAAGACGTCCCTGTGACAAGATTAGATTTGTACCCCTGATCCCCTGCGTCGTCGCGGCGCAACGTCGAGGTTGTTATTGGATATGGTTCCGGCATGCGTCATCTTTGCAAGCACCTGGGCCGAAACCTCGATTTCTCATGAGGAGACCAACGCGACTCGCAATTATCTTTTTTTTTGCATATCTTTTCTGGACGCATTGAAAAAGGATCTGTTGCTTCCAGAAGGGCATGGCATTTCGATTCATGTTGTTCTGTTTGTTCATTTGTTCATGTTGGAAGTTTGAGAGCTTGCACAGACAGTCGACAGACACATGTTCCTGCTTTAGGCACGCAGATGCAAAACACATGACACCGGTGCAATAAAATTAAGCTTTTCCCTTGCGGATTGAATGCAAACTCCCAATGAATACGCACAAGATGATGCCCTGGGTCGTTAGCGAAGTTGGCGAACATAACTCCAATCACTAATTAGGATTTATGATATCTATAGTTAACGAGGTTTACAAACCAAGACACATTCCACTGGGGGTGCAGCACCTTGTAGGAATGCCATCGTCACCACTTCGGATATCCCAATCCTCCTTCATTTTTCATTGGGAACAGTTCTTGGTTAGGTAGTTCAACGCCTAGTTGTTGGCTATTGCAATTTAACTAAAAGAGTTTGTATTTGCAAAAATATATAACATACATACAGACAGTTAAATGTACAACCGAGGCATTCTGAAGAGCATTTTTTTTTGTTCCCTCAATAAATACAATTGCCAGGAACAAACAAACAGTGGCAACCTGGTTTCTTCATATGCCATAAACCCTTTCAGGACGGGGTTTAGCATCCAGAAAGGACATTGCGAGATACCGGGTGTGCATGTGTTGTTTGTTTTTACACTTGAAACGTAAACATAAAACAGTTAAAATCATTTAAATGTACCTGCAAATAGCCGGCCACAGCTGAGATAACTGGACTAACTTTTTGCATTTTGATGACTGATTACGTAGTCCATGTCATCCCGCTTTTTGCCAAGTAAAGTCATAGTTGCATTATAGTTGCGTTATTCACCACTGCCAGTCACATACCCTGGAATTTTCACCCTGGTCATGGAGAGGCATCCGTGTAAAGTTGGGACTGGCATGTTAAATCACCGTTTGCTGGTTAAACTTTGCCTATGTCCCATCATATCCCCGTATTTTGTTGCTGAAGTCCCCTAGATTGGTCAGGTATTTTTCTCCGATTTGTGGATTTCTTATATGTCACCTGATATCCCCATGATAAAATAGTTGGTTTAATCAGTTTAATCCTTCCGTTTTTGCTTCTTCCAAAATGCTAAAAAACTCTTAGTTTTTCCATCCGTAAATTTATCTCACGAAATCCCGATGGTTTGTAGCAACAAAATCAATGGCCATTTTGTAACCGATGAACATTGGAGGTACCACTATGTTCAAGGCCTATGTTCAAGGCCTCTTTTTTTTCAGAGAATATTCCCACATATGGCCAAAACTATAGGATCCGTTTACGTACCTCCATTTTAGGACCTGTTTTTATTCCCATGGATTAAATATCAATTGTTTGTTTGCTTTAAGTCACCATGAAAGCCCATGGTTTTCGACACGTGTTTTTTTGTTGTGTAAAGGCACTGTGGTGGCGGGCGTCAGCGCGGACATTGAACCTGATTCCATTGCCGCCTTGCTGCAGCGAGTTATGATATGATATCTAATAGTTGTGGATATGATCATTATATAGTTATATATAATTATATATATATGTATACAACTATTGATATATTAACCACATATAACACTATTATAGTTAATACTGCACATCACACTATACTTATAATAGTTATATATAAATATATTATGTGGTGATATGTGGTTAATATATCAATAGTGCTTTTTTATGCATATATATATATCATGGCAAATTACAGTTATGGAAAAGGAATTATTTGATATAGTTAATATCACCAATAACAGTTTATAGCTAAACAGGAGGAATTGTTGGTTTCCCATCTATAGTTAATGGTGGTTTAGCTAGGGCATCAATGTGTATAGGCGCTTAGTGGAAACTAATCTTCCAAGCCCTATCAGGCAGGGTCTATGTTAATTTACTGGAGGGTAATGTGGATAATGTGGGAAACCCAAGGGAAAACTAGCATTTTGGGACGGTTCATGCACCTATGGTGATGACTTGGGGGTTATGGCATTTTATGGCGCTGGGTTTACCACATTTTACCATCTTTTTATTTAACAGTTCGCCATGGAAAATCCACCCATTTTTAAGTTCGGTAAACCATCTATTTCCATGGGCTATTTTCCATCGCTATGTTAGTCATAACCAGATGGTATTTCTAATGGTTAATATAAACTTATAGGTTAACCATAACCACCATTATTAACCATTATTAACCATTATGGCAGGATGGACATGGCCTGGAACCAAGATGGGTGGGATGATGGCAATGCGCTTCCCAACGTCCCCATCAGATTCCATGCTGCATTGTCCACAGAAACGGCCGTACTGGTGAGTTCTTGTGTGCGGTTACGCGTTACTGTAATTCTAGCCATTGTTTTTTTTTTGGAACATCATCATTATACAAAATATACTGTTAGATATCCAAAATATGATAGTTATATGATTAACACCAGTTAATTCTAGCCATTGATATATAACCATGTTTTTGAATTGTCCCATCTATTCTGGATTGGCAAACCAATCCAGCGCTAGGAAAATCGACGTAGGATGCCCCTTGGGGGCACCACTGGCACGGCAGGTCTGGAAAGTCTTAGAGGCCGTGTTCACGGCGTTTTTCATTGGCGAGATCGTTGCTGGGACTGAGGACAGTGGAGCCCAAAAAACGCTGGAAAAAACGATATCTATTTTATATATATATATGATATGTTACTATACATTTTAATGACATATTAAAACACTTAAATTATCTATATGGTCTATATGGTTATGATTAACATCTATTTGGGTAAATTATAACGACCTCACTGCGACCTCACTGGAAATCATGGGTAATAAGGGAAATCATCCCCAATTGGCCTTATTTCAGGTTAGAGAGATATTATAATTTACCCAGATATATAAAACAGTAAGTATAAGGTATAACAATAGGTATAACAATTGTTAAGCTATGTATATGTATGTAGGTATCACAAACATTGAGCTACAGGGCAACAAAAAGGAACATAAACAAGTCATGGATTAATCAATATTAATCATTAAGTATGTGGGATCACTATATATATATACACATACATACATTATAGAATTGTTTTTCCTAAAGTCCTAAAGCGTAGTGAGTTAAACTAGTCAAACATCAAATCAACGTAAATAGATTCCTATTGCGATTCAACGTGGCGGACGGGAAATCAAAATCATTTTCAAGAACGGTAAATCATCAATTACATATAAATGGACCATCTATCCCATAGCTATGTTAACTAACTACAGGGTGTATTTAAAGATAGTTAAACATCTACAACAGCCACAAAGCATATGGCTACGCAGACTCACGCGCTATAAGACACACTTATAAATATATATATATATATGCATATGCATTTTTTGAATCATTATGAGTTAAGCTAGTTAATCAATGTGTAGCTGGCAAAAAAAAAATACCCAGTGACAGCCAGGGGATCTGTGGGATGGGCCTCCAAATGTGATGTTTGTTGGTTGGTAACCCCATCGAAATATACGAAAAAAAACACATAAGTATCATAACCATACACTATTGTTATAACCTATATAAGGCCTATGTAAGGGAATATCCCCACAAAATATGGCCTTATATGGTACAGTACCTCTTTTTTAGGATCCTGAAATTCCCATTGATGTTATTTAGTAACCATAAGTATCACCCCAGTCTATAACCATAAAAAAAAAAAAAACAATGCACTATATATCTATTTGTAGTTATACACGCACCAACTGAACCCTAACGAACTGGGAAAAAAATCCTGTGGCATGATCATACGGTGTTGTTGGCACACCCGTTGACAAACCCAAAGGGACTCCACTTGCGGCCGTACTTATCTACTTATTTGCATTTGGATGCTATAAACTATAGATATACTTACTATACCTACCATACACCGCATTGACGTTGTTTTTCTTATGTAACTATAATCATGTGTATATATATATATATAATTATAAAGATAACATGGACTATGCCGATATGCCCTTGAAATCTAACCCCCCCCCCAAAAAAAAAAACGTCTAAAGTGACCACACTTTTCGGGGGCCGAAGCAAATCCAAGGTTGTGAAGATGAAATATTTTGGTTTCAGCATCCTGGCGGCGTTTCTCTCGGCTAAAGCTTCGATGCTGAACATGGATCCCTCTGGTTGTGTCAAAATTCCTGAAAATGGCCCATTGTTTTAAGTTGATTTACCTAAAGATGGTGATTTTCCATCAGCTATGTTGAATTACCAGAGGGTAGTGTCTATATATATATATATGGATGTGTGTGTATGTATAGAGAGAGAGAGAGAGTGACCAACAAAAGATAGAAGAGATAGAAGCATCATGTTTGACTATTAGCTTCGATCTTATGTTTTTCATGTTTTGGTTGGATCGCTAGGCTACACTTCAACTTGTTGCTAGGAATTGGCATAACCGAACAGCCTGGGATGGTTGTCCTGGCTCCATGTTGCATGGGGACCAGGGTGTAACTTGGGGTTTGTGGTAAAACATTACAGGGACATGGCCATAGCTATTAGTTAAAACTGGTTATAGAAGGAACTATACATTTTAGAAATGGGGTTATAGGTACTTATAACTGGTAAAAGGGCCATAACTGTATTGACAATCTGGTCAGATATGAATGAGATGTTTCAAAAAACAAACATACCAAACCATGATTGCTATTGATTGATTTGGATGAATTAGAATGACCTCAGTCAATTTGACATTTGACGTCGCTGGAATGAAGGCAAAAAAAAATTGCTAATCATCTTTTCCATGGTCCCAAAATTTGTTTACTTAATGAGTTTCAGTGAATCACCAAAAAAATCAGCCAGACACGTAAGGAGCTGGGGTCCCCCTGTCAGGCTGACACTTATCCAATTGGCGAGCCTTCAGGGTATCTTTTTCCCAGCCCCGAAGCTCAATGGAGCCTTCAAAACGCACGTAATTTTGGTGTTTTGTTCAGTTTTTTGAGAAACAGGAGAGAAAAACCACGGGGTATCATGGGGTCTTTGTTTTCAGCACCTTACCAAATAGATAGCAGGGCCCCAGGCCCCTTTGTTTTAATTGCTCCATCCAATCGTTGATTTCAGGGAAACGCCACTGATTTAAACGGCCTTGAATAAGGCTAACAAGAATAGTTTCCTGTGATTTTTTCCTTGAACCAACCCATTGAAACATTTGAAAGTAAGACTTGGGAAATTTCAAGGTCGTGAGCAGAAGGAGCTCTTGAGCCATGGCTATCCACAGTTCCAATTAAAAATCTGCGAACAGAGCTACTCTCAGACTTTAGCCATATGGTAGATACCCTCCGGTAGTCAAGCAACTATCCAACTGTAAACCTCCATTAAGTATCCAGCTCTAGTTAACCTTCAAAAATATTGGGGATTTACCTTCCGCTAGCGTTTGATGACAGCCCTGTTCTCCTGACACCACCAAGGTGTCTATTTGTTTGGAAGCGATTGGCAGCCTGGCGCTTTTGTTTTTTTTCCAGGGCGGTTCCGGCCCATAAAACACTTCTGGCCCGAGTTGTACCAGTTGTAAGTACTAACAAAGTCCCATTTATAGAATGTGTAATCCCATTTATAACCAGGTATAGCTATGTATAGCTAATAAATGACCATAACTGAAACAAATTCACAGTTTGCGACCTGGAAAATTCCCACGCAGCAATTAGTAAATCATCGAACTATTGCAGGGCCATTTTCCACAGCAAACTCTTCCAAGCATTTTTTTGTTGGGTGAGCATGAAAATAGTTCCCTTTTCTGTTTTTGTTTTGTGACGTTTCCGAATTCAAGAGCAATCAAAGAGTATTGGAATCATGGGTTGGTGTTGGAGTGACTACCAAATGCTTGGAATGCCTTCAAGAAGTGAAGGAACATGTTTGATTTGCAGGATGCCATGGCAGTTTATAACAATGACCACAATGGTTTCAGTATAGTTATATAGTACCAACCCCAAGACTGCACTTCACTTTACAGGACTCTCTAATGAAATCAGTGTTACTTCTTGGGGCTGCAGCTATAGTTGTGAATTGTTATTACCATTGTTTATAGCAACCGTCAGCTGGCATATATAACCTCAAAAAGTTACAGTTATGGCCATACAAAAAATGGTTTGTCCCAAAATAAGGTGCCCAAAAAAATAACGGGCACCTTATTTTGGGTATATCATACATACTGTATCCTAGTATGTCACACATAATGCAATATTTTTTTCATGACCATATATCATACCCAGGTGTGATAATCTGATGTTTCCGATCAAGTGGAGCAGGCCACATTTTTTATAAATGGTGACGACTAATCCAAGAAAAGAGGTGATCTAAAAATTCAATGGCCACTTCAGGTGCCTAAATTGGAGGTAAAAATTGGAGGTACCGATTCCATATATATAAGGCCTATTTTCCAGGGCTATGTAAGGGGATACACACCCAAACTATTGCAATATTATGGTACTAACGTAGCTCCATTGAAAAAATGATCCTGGAGATCTCCCATTGAAAAAATGATCCCACCCTTTGAAGAGCTACATCTTGGGAGATACCAAAAAAAAACTACGGAACCCTGGCTCAATGTTTTCGTGGATGTTCATCTTCCATTGTACAGTTGATCCTTGACACCAGGTGTTCATGGCCATTGACCATGGTGAAGTCCCATGTACTCCATGGTTTACCAATTCGGTAAACCATAGGTAAAGCATGTTGATTACCATGTTGAATTACCATGCTTTAGCTATGATTTCCATGGTGATTTCCCATAACATCCTGTTAACATTTTCAATGGGATCATCGCATAGTTCTGCAGCCAAGGTACTGGAGTTGGTTCGACATTCTTTGTGTCATTTTAGCGACTCGATCTGGTGAGAATCGATTGGAAGGATATCAGTGGGGCTGGGCACTTGGTGGGCACTTCAGACTTAAATATCATCAACCATCGATGTAAATAGATAGAGAACGAGTCATGGTCACACACTTTCCATGTTTTTGTTGGGAGTCGGAGTTGAATCAGTATATGTTTTTTTCTCCTCCAGTCACACCAATCGTCACACACGGTGTTGGCTGCTAAGTTTTTCAGTTACTGAGTGACGCTAACTATAGTTGGCTGAACTATCAAGGACAAGGTATATAGCCTCCTTGACACGTGGTCTATGATTCATGGATGAATCTAGCAGGGATATTCCATGTCATGTAATACAGTAAATTATAGGTTCTGTAATCCCTATCTTGAAATACTGCCATGACCAACTTAGACATCCTGCTTGAGTATCGGATCTGTTCGTTTTGGGGTCCCACACAGGAAGGATTTTGAGAACATGTAGGGCCATGGCATTAATGATTGCCCAGGGCAACTGTAGTTCCCATCGCATGATTCCGATGCATGGCATTGCCGGTTTGATGAACCAATTAGCAATGATCAACCATGAAGTTCAAGGGTGCTCCGGGTGCTCCCCCGAATCCATGGAAATTTCGGAGTCTAACATGGAGGTATAGCCTAGCATTTATCGGTGAGCCCGAGCCGCCCAGGGCGGTTGAGCTTGGACCTTGGAGCCCCCCTTAGATTTCCAAGACACATCAGCAATGGCTGGATGGACTGTGGCCATAGACTTCTGATGTTTTGCATACCCGGCCTGGCAATTTGTTACATAGCTATTGAAAAATGGTCCATAGAAATAGGTGATTTACCCACTTTTTTAAGTGGTGATGTCCAACAGCTATGTTAGTTTAACGGAGGGTATGTCTTGCATTCTCAGACTTTTTGTTTGCTTTTTGTGTGTTTTATTTTGGTGATTGGCAAACACCATGCCCAGGATCAGATGATCAACCCTCACCAACCATAGATCATAGATATCCATGATATTTGGATACTTCCCCATGGACAAGATGCATCTATTTATACAATCACACCTGGCTAAAAAAGGCAATCCATGGATTTTTTTTCACCAGTCGATGTTCCCCAAAAAAATCACCAAAAGACATGACTCCAAAGTAATTAATCAATGACTTCGAACACGTTGGGACCTCTATTATTATAATCATATAACAAAAAACGTCGTTGAATGGTTTCGGTGATTATCCCAATGATTATCCTAGTGATTATCCCAATGATTATCCCAATATTTCCCAGTGGTTTTCCTTCATAGATCTGTTGAGACGCTGCAGCCCTCGAGGCCTTGATCGATATGGGCCTCACCTACGTCAGCATCGCGGAAGGCGGGGGGCCTCCGGTAGCCCCCGGAAAATAAAGATTAAACATGGGAGTTCATCCAACAAACAATATAGAGAAATAACATTTAAACAGTGATGTCATGTACTCATATTTAATTATTTATATATATAATAATTACATGTCATGAACATGGTGGTTTCACCAAGAAATATGGGGATATGATGTAACTGGCAGAACCTTAGCCGGAGAAGATGTTCATCCTATGGCAGGTGTGAGTGCCGAGACGGGTCCGGTGAATACCCTGAAGATGTTGAAGTTGCTCGGCGTACCGTTAAAGGGTCAACGTGGTCGGGCTGTAAGTTGAGTTGCTTGCGATTTCTTGAGGCAACTTTCTTAGGGATATTTTTTTGTTTAATGAATATGATGTATGACTCTATGACCAAAAAACTGAGGTTTACCAGCTGAATTCATAGTCATAATATATATATATAAGCTACTTAGGAAAAGATGGATAAGCCGACTGTCAAAGGATCATTTGGAGGATCAGCCCACTTGGTAGTTGCTGAATGTAGCCGTCGTAGTTAGTTCGAGTAGTTGGAACTTATTGATACGTGGGGTAACTCCATTGAGTGGACTTACATAGTACATAGTTATATAACTCATTTATAATAATCATCATAATATATATATACATATATATATATATTTATGATCTGTATATATATATATGTATGATATGTATATATATATACATATGGGCTAACTCCAGATTTACCAGGGTTATTAGCCGCTTAATATTGGTGGGATTATCCCCCAAGCGAGAATTATTGTTCTATAAACCACGCTAAATCGCCATGATTGATTTTTTTAACCCTAGGGCAAACTCACATAGATGTGGAAAACCCATAGTTTCCGGAAAGTAGCGTATACATGGCTGACTTTCCACATCTATGCTTTACTCTATAAGCTTATTCTGGTTGGTGGTTTGGAACTTTGTTTTCTTTTTCCATATTAATTGGGAAAATTATGATCCCGGCTGACGAAGTCCATCATTTTTCAGGTAGTGCTCAACCACCAATTAGACCTTAATTAGTATTGTTATGTCATGTTTTCAGGAGATACACCTGGTCAACTTGTCCCCCTACAATGTGAGGCCCCCAAGATAGCGTTCAGTTGGTTTATAACTACAATAGCTATGGTTTATGGTATTTATAACTATAGTCACTGGGGCTTATATATAAACCAACTAACATCACTGGGGGGCCTCACATTGTAAGAAACCTTGGGTCAAATGTGGTCTGGCCATGTCTAGCCGAGGTTGGCACGACTGGGTCGAATCATCCGCTTGCTGCCGCTTAGTTATCGCCAGCGATACCTGGGGATGGAACGACAAATCACAAGTGTTTATCCTCGGGTATTCTTACAACAGTTATGGCCATTTATTAGTTATAACTGGTTATAAATTTACCAGGGATTACACATTCTATAAATTAGGGTTATAAGTACTTATAGCTGGTAAAGGGCCACAACTAAAGTACTTAGTACTTAGCCATGGAAAACCATCATGTTTATCAAGTTTCAGGTCATCTACAAGTGGGCATATGTGGGCTATGTTCTGTCAGATTGTGCAGGGTTCACCCATCAAAATAGGCCTAGGGCCTAGGCTTTCCTCCAGCGTCTTCGCGCAACGCGTTTGGGGAAATCATCATCATAAATCCCATAGAAGGCTGGATTCCAATCCAAGCAGCTTTTATGATATGTTTCGGCCTCAGCCTTTCGAAATGCCCAGGAAGTTCAAAATTTTCCAAGAGCTGAAGTTGATGATCCAAGGCGTCTTCACTGGACTAAGTCACTTGGTCCCAGCCGTGGAGTTTCTTGGGGTAAAAATCCAGGATTTCCCAAGGGAAATGATCCACAAATGGTAGGCTTTCCAGATCAAGGACAATGTTTACAGGAGGGAACCTGATGAGGTTTGGGGTTATACAAGGAGAGTGCCCCCAAACAATAGCTCAGCGCGTTTCTACTAGTACAAGTAGGGCTTACGGTAGATATGATATGAGCTAGTGGGTGTTACTAACCAACTTAGAACTGGAGGGCACACCACCTTATCCATTCCAAACGAATACAATTTGGGTGTATAGTTGGGGCATCTTGGGGCTGAAACCAAGAGAATTAAAGGTTGCCCATGAATTTCAAATATTTACCATCCGGTTATAACATAGCCATGGTATAGATGGCCCATGGAAATAGATGGTTTACCTATTGAAAATGGGTGGATCTTTCCATGGCAAACTGTTAGTCATAACCAGATGGTAACATCGCTTCGGATCAGCTCATTTGCCTCTCTTGAGTTGACCCGTTGAAGGTTGATTTTGAGCGGAGGCTACTCCGCTATACTCCGCTGGATGTAGACTGACTGCAGAATTGAAAAAGCAAACCGACCCAAAGTATCCTTGCCCTTTTGAAGGCATCATTGATCGATGATGAGTTCCAAGTTTCTGATTTCTACTCATTTGTGGTTGTAGTTTACCAACTTCAAGTTTCAGGTACCTGGATTTGCTCAGGGTCTTGTTTTTTGTTTTGGGGCCATCTTCAATGGCTTGGTTTGTTTGGGAACATCGTAAAACTATAGATGTTCCGATTAAATATGGGCCATATGGGGCTTTCCGGTTTCAATTTTCCCTGAAAAAACAATCCGTTGTCCGCAAATCCCAGGGTCAAACGTACCTCATTTCCGTTTTGCTGCCGATGTCCCCCCGCTGAGGAGTGCTCTTCTGGGCGGTTGTCCTTTTGGTGGGATGCATGTACCTCATAGGCTCGGTGACTGCCAATCTCGCTGAGGAAACTGATCAAAAATGGCAGGTTAATGGGAAAATCATCGGGAAAATCATAGGTTTTTTTGGGGAAATAGATGGGGAAATCCAGAAAATAAATGGAGGCAATAGCTGGGAGAATCATTTCCAAAATGGGACATGTTGCCATCAATGTGATTGATTACCGGAGGAGAACCCCCGTTACACATTTCGCCACGTTGTAATTTGTAGCGATCGAATTATCGAAAACTTAGAAAACCATTCAGTTTCAAGTCACCCTATATTCAGACAATCCTAGAGGTTGTTCGTCATTTTGTTTCCTTGTGTGTTTTGATAAACATTTGAAAAGGAGCGCTTGTGGGAGTGGTTGTGCCATTTTGTTCATCATAGAGGCTAGGATCATCGGAAGATATCGAAAGGGATGTGTTCAGATTCAGTTTTATCTCAACACAAAGAAACACAAACAATCAAACATGCTTAAACAGGGTTGCGCCCATTATAGGTAAACTACAGTCACAAGGATGGAATGCCTCTAGCCATCTAGCTATCCACCCCTCTTGCAGCTGGGATGGCGAGGGAGCATCTCTGTGAACGTTGGATGCCTCAATGGACTTTCATATAAAGAAACTGAGCTTCAAGGTAGTCACCAGATCAGCTGAAGCCAATAGTCAATTCAATAGTCTAAATATGCCTCAATATTCCACAGTTTTTTTGCTTATCAAAGCTGCAGGTGTGGTGACCAAGACGTTGTTTGGACAAGAACGGCAGGAATTTCGATATGCATCTTGATCCTGATCCACCATGGGGATGAATGTTGGGGTAAATCTGAGGGCTTCGATGGTAGACCATATCTTGGAGTACAAAGAAACAATCACCAATTATATTTCAAGATATTTCAAGACACTGAGATAGAAGATATTCCCACTTTTTATTTTACATGCAATTTTCGATTTAATTTGGGTTTGGCAATCCCACAAAAACCAAATAAAAGAAATCATATGAAATCATTAAACTTTGTTGGCATGCCTGTCAAAAGTCGGAGATATTTGGATCCGCAAGGACAAGGCCATCAACAATTGATTGCTTTGGTGACTAGTAATATATGGTGCTGATATCCCATTAATATCGTAGGTTGTTAACATCATAATATTCCCATGATACTGTCATCCCATTATTTTCCCATTTTGTTCCCATGATATCCCATTGCCTTCAAAAAAACAACAAAACACATGAAAATTCATGACATCCTATCATCATCTCGAAAGAGCTTCACATGTCATGATGTTGTTCTGTTATGCAGTTTCCATTAGAATCCCACTAAAGTCCTATTATATATTATCTCATGACACATCCCATTAACATCCTATTATTATCCCATTAAAATTACATTTGAAACACTATGAAAATTGATTCGAATCCGATTAAATCCCATTAAATTCAATGATTTCCGAGTAAAATCCCATTAAATTCAATGATGTCCTAGTAAAATCCCATTAAATTCAATGAATTACTATTAAACTCCGATGAAATTCAATGAATTCCTATGAAAATCATTGAACATCCCATGAAAAATCACTACGTTCCCGAAAGAAACACCCCAACAATGGCTCAAACTGAGGTGCCCATTGCAATGTTCACGGCCTTCCGGTGCTTCACAGCACCTCGGCGTGTTTGTGCCAGCAGATTCAACCAACAAACTGGGCATATTTAGTTGATAGATGTTGATAGTATATAATAATAACAAGAATGATAATAATAATAGCCATAATAGTAATAATGATATATATATATATAATATTATATTGTATATGCATACATATGGTAGGTTTATACACCTTATGACATATGAACTTTAGTTCGATCTACCACACATCGTGTTTTCCCGGCTTCTAAATAGCTTCTTGGCTAACATTGGTCCCACCCTGTGGAATGGTTCGCAGAAGATGTGGCCCCACCATGGTTCGATGAAGTCATTTTTCGAGTATGTGGCTTGTAAAGTCATTATGAAGCCTTACCCTCTGGTAAACTAACATAGCTATTGAACATGGCCATTTATAGTGAGTTTTCCCATTAAAAATTGTGATTTTCCATAGTTATGTTAGTTTACCAGAGGGTACATCGTGAAGTAAGTAAATGTATGTAAGCCCCACCTTCGAGTGAAAACCATGGCTTACTCTTTGAGCGTGTGGCTTACAAGCCGGGCCGGCAACTCGACAGTTCTGGTTGCCTGAATGGTTTTGTTTAAGGCAAAAACACTAGATGATGAGGACCTTCCCAAAGGTCAGTTGGAGGAATCAACTATGAAACAAGAAACAAATGCAACTGTTGCTGGGCTGCTGTTAAGATAATCAAATAATCAAAAAGTTTTTCTGTATATTTCAGAATATATTTCAATGCAACATATAATATAGTATGATTAACTAACCATGGTAAAAATTACGCTATTGTCTTGTCTGTTGCAAGAGCTCAACCTTTCTTCAAATATCGTTGCCTAATCACATGGAACACCGAATATTCAGTCGCACAATACTTCCCAAAGTTGACGTTTTGCTGAAATTGCTCTTCGTTCATGAAAATTGTGGGTTCCCTCAATACAGCACAGCAAATACAAATATAGTTTTCTGACTTCTCTTTGGTTCTCCGACCTTTTGCAACATGGTGGGGATTGTAGCAGCTGCTTTCAACAATGGTATCATTTTGGCAAATATACAGGCTGCTTATATTATTTCGACCATTACATAAACTATACTTGCGCATGTTGCATGTTATTGTGTTTGCACCGTCCTCGTCGTGTTGAGTTGGTTCGTCAACTAATCTGAAATTTGTTGAAGCGTTTCAATGAAGCATCACCCCATCACTCAAGGTTTTGATCCTTGAAACCATACATTTACAGATATTCATGCATAAACATGTGTACAAGGAGAACTTCACACATTGACACGCACACGCACGCAAGTCTATATCCATCTTTGACATAAATATATGTACATACATACAAATAATCTATCTGTACTTATATATTATAAATATATATATATATATAGATACACATATTCACAGCATGTGCATGGACATTGGAGTGGCCATTCCCTTTGAAGAGAATGCACGCCTTGCCATCACGGAAAACTACCTGCCCTGCACCCCCAATGCTCCCCTTATCTGAAGAGCGAGTATGCATGGTGATGTCCCGCAGCAACGCCTGGCAATATGGTTTGAACTTGTCTGCACTTGGGGAGCCAGCGGTATGATCACATGTCAAAGGGAGCTTGTGGTCTTAGACGTAAAAAAAAGGTGCACTTGGCTGCCTACTCAATTTGTTCAAGATATGTAACAAGCATGTTGTATGGCCACGAAACAAATAATATACTACACTTGATCAAATCCCAGAGATAACTTTTGAAAATGTTATTCTTGCTTGATGCCTCTCCATATTCTTGAGATTTGTTTGCGCATATTCTTGTTGAATCCATATGTATTTTTATTTGATCCGTCGCCCCTACTCCTTGCTTCGCTCCTTCCGTCTTGTTTTGGCTTTGGCTTCTCAGGCTAATTCCTGCTCGCCCACCAGCCTATTACTTCACCCACTTGAAGGATTAGCTACATATACTTGTTTGACACATGTTGTTCTTTATTATGCGTATATACATGCATGTTTTAGGTGTACTGAACAATTATTTATTTTTATTTATATATATATATATCTCTCTCTCTATCTAGACATAGGTTTATATACGGCCAAAAAATGGTATGCAGATATACACATTTATAATACATATGCAAATTTATATCTTTAGTTGCAATGCTCATACATTTGTACATAGGCAAATGCAAAATTGCCGATGCCGACAGCATGGGAGGTCCTATTGCTTGCCTTCACAAGCGGTTGGGCCCAGGAAGCCTTCTTTCTGATCAGCCCCTTAGCGCTCACGACCTTGCAATGCTTACCCTTAATATTTTAAATTCTTGTTGGTGCTGTTAAGCAAATCACCTTGTACAGGAGAGGGGCTGTCAGCCCCTATGCCCTGCAAGGTCCCGAGCGCTACGGACCTTGCACCGCCTGAGTATGATTATCTTAACAGCACGTTAAAAATATTCAAGATAGGGGGCTGCAAGGTCAAAACCCATGCCCCGAGCTACGGTGGGGAGAGGCGGTGCAAGGTCCCGAGCGCTACGGACCTTGCAGGGGATAGGGGCTGGCAGCCCCTCTCTTGTGCAAGGTGATTTGCTTAACAGCGCCAACAAGAATTTAAAATATTAAGGGTAAGCATTGCAAGGTCGTGAGCGCTAAGGGGCTGATCAGAAAGAAGGCTTCCTGGGCCCAACCGCTTGTGAAGGCAAGCAATAGGACCTCCCATGCTGTCGGCATCGGCAATTTTGCATTTGCCTATATACAAACGTATGAGCATTGCAACTAAAGACATAAATTTGCATATGTATTATAAATGTGTATATCTGCATACCATTTTTTGGCCGTATATAAACCTATGTCTAGATAGAGAGAGAGAGATATATATATATAAAAATAAATAATTGTTCAGTACACCTAAAACATGCATGTATATACGCATAATAAAGAACAACATGTGTCAAACAAGCATATGTAGCTAATCCTTCAAGTGGGTGAAGTAATAGGCTGGTGGGCGAGCAGGAATTAGCCTGAGAAGCCAAAGCCAAAACAAGACGGAAGGAGCGAAGCAAGGAGTAGGGGCGACGGATCAAACAAAAATACATATGGATTCAACAAGAATATGCGCAAATAATCTCAAGAATATGGAGAGGCATCAAGCAAGAATAACATTTTCAAAAGTTATCTCTGGGATTTGATCAAGTGTAGTATATTATTTGTTTCGTGGCCATACAACATGCTTGTTACATATCTTGAACAAATTGAGTAGGCAGCCAAGTGCACCTTTTTTTACGTCTAAGACCACAAGCTCCCTTTGACATGTGATCATACCGCTGGCTCCCCAAGTGCAGACAAGTTCAAACCATATTGCCAGGCGTTGCTGCGGGACATCACCATGCATACTCGCTCTTCAGATAAGGGGAGCATTGGGGGTGCAGGGCAGGTAGTTTTCCGTGATGGCAAGGCGTGCATCCTCTTCAAAGGGAATGGCCACTCCAATGTCCATGCACATGCTGTGAATATGTGTATCTATATATATATATATATTTATAATATATAAGTACAGATAGATTATTTGTATGTATGTACATATATTTATGTCCAAGATGGATATAGACTTGCGTGCGTGTGCGTGTCAATGTGTGAAGTTCTCCTTGTACACATGTTTATGCATGAATATCTGTAAATGTACGGTTTAAAGGATCAAAACCTTGAGTGATGGGGTGATGCTTCATTGAAACGCTTCAACAAATTTCAGATTAGTTGACGAACCAACTCAACACGACGAGGACGGTGCAAACACAATAACATGCAACATGCGCAAGTATAGTTTATGTAATGGTCGAAATAATATAAGCAGCCTGTATATTTGCCAAAATGATACCATTGTTGAAAGCAGCTGCTACAATCCCCACCATGTTGCAAAAGGTCGGAGAACCAAAGAGAAGTCAGAAAACTATATTTGTATTTGCTGTGCTGTATTGAGGGAACCCACAATTTTCATGAACGAAGAGCAATTTCAGCAAAACGTCAACTTTGGGAAGTATTGTGCGACTGAATATTCGGTGTTCCATGTGATTAGGCAACGATATTTGAAGAAAGGTTGAGCTCTCGCAACGAAGAAAACAATAGCGTAATTTTAATCATGGTTAATCAGAATATATAATGTATTGAAATATATTTCCCGAAATAGATATATAGAACACCTTTTTGATTATTTGACTATCTTAACAGCAGCCCAGGTTGGGTTTGTAATAGATACTGTATACCCTCCGGATATTAACATAGCTATATGGAAATGGCCCATTTGTACATGGCATATCATGATTTACCCATTGAAAGTTGTGATTTTCCAGTTCGCTATGTTGAATAACCGGAGGGTACCCTCCGGTGTCATCAAACCTGGCTGGAAAATCCACATTTTTTTTCAATGGAGTTGAGACGGGACATGTTTGATTTTATAAACATGGCCATGACTGGCTGGCAACCCGGAATTTGGGAGCCAATCGAAAATTGGAAAACCGCGGAATTTGAGCCTTAAAACGCCGGAGATATGTGGGAAATTATATTTGGGAGTTGAACCATATACAGTAAGCTAACAGTTTGCCATGGAAAATCCGCAATTGATAGAGGCATTCTCTCAGGAAAACCCATGGATTTCCACAACTAAGATTAATTTACTGGAGGGTAAAGTTACTGAAGCATATTGCCACCTATGTTGTTTTCCTCCAGATGATGGGTTTACCGCAAGTCAAATTCGCGCTAGTTTGGGGTTCCTCCAGAATAGCAACATTAAACATGGATACGGTCGTCATTAGATCCCACAGTTCCCACAGGTCATTTTTGTTTGCAGCACAATGATAGGTAAAATCCCCTTGTTGCATGTCCTGTGAACATATGAGCACAACATCAGGTGAATCAAGACACAATCAAAGAATTAGTTTGCAGCGAAGTTATGTCATCAAAGGCTATTCCACAAACACCGCAGGTTGAATGGTTTGGCGTTAGCGTTTTTTGATTTCAATGGACAGCTTTGTTCCAAAAATGTATCAAGACCTTGGCTCTCAGGATGGCTGCACAACGGAGGAGGGCGAGCCGCTGCATGAAAAACTGCGGGATCGATTTGGCGGTCTCTTCATGTTAGCCTACATCCTCTTGTCCCTAGGATCGAACTGATTGAACTGGTGGCATTGGCATTGGAAGGATGTTGCCCACTGACCGGCACTTTTTTTTTTGGTTTTATTGTTGGTTGAAAGCAACAATTATATATATATACATTGTTTCTTATTGTCCGGCATGAAGCAGGGTTGGGGTCTACTACCTTCAAGTCGGGTGTTGTGGTTGCATCGTTCCTTTAGCTGATGGTTATTGCTGAGGGCTGGTACACATGCGAAAGCAACGTTTAGAATTAGCTAGCAGAGAGTAGCCTCAGAACATGTTTGCCTAGATCCAATTGAGACGTAAATGGTAAAGAAAAACGTATTTGAGTCCAAGTTATGACATTCCATGTTCTTTTTGATTTGTGTGATGTGGGGTCGGTAGTTAATACTGCAACTTTTTCCATAAATAGCGAGGAAAAGCATGGAGAAAAAACACTCTTTATATTGGAACAAACCGGTGTCATTTTCAATAAACCTAGGACTAGCCATAATTCCAGCTACGTCACAGGGATTCTGCTCTAGTCGCACTGACCAGGGCAGGGTGCAGGAAGGGGATCAAGGCCACCAAGTTGGTATCCAGGGACATGCAATTGGCTTGTGGATTTTTGGTCGTTTTCTGTGGGTTTTCCTTCAAAACAGCCTGGGATACATTGAGCTGATCAAGCCTTTGACCATTTTGATCCCCGAAAAAAGTGCTGAGTGGAGGAACAACTTCACCCTTTGTTGAACTCACATGACCGGGAGAGCTATTGGAAGTGTACATGATATGTGTTTTCTTTCTATGGCCCACTGCTGCAAATCTCAGGTCGTTTTTTTCCAGAATCGATTCGGAACCCCCCTCCAGCAGGCCAACCATGTTTTAGCATGGTATCTTAGTAAGACCCCAAGGTTTCCAGGGAAAATTGCCCAACCAAACCATCAAACCCAGCATTGGTGACTGCGAAAATCCATGAGGTTCTTGTTTGTCACCATTGGCATCTTCAATCTGATCATGGCGGCGCCTCGGTTGAAACTTCCCGTTTTTGGATCAGCGGAGAGCGGAGAGCCTGTTTTGGGAAGCCATGTGACTGTCTGTAAAAAAAGGTAGATAGATTCATAGATAGGTCAGATAAGACTAGATAAGACCAGATCAGATGATATAGATTATATAGATAAGGTTAGATAAGATTAGATAAGATTTGATTAATTAGATTTGATTTACTTAGATTTTGCTTAGATAGATAGAAAGATAGATAGATAGATAGCACAACTTACCCCTCTTGACCTGCTAGATGCACTGAATAGACCCCACCTTGGAACGTGCCCACCAGAGGATCCAACACCGATGATGCTGGATCAGATGCTGTGCAAAAAAAACACTGTAAACCGCTACTGTGGATGAAGAAATCCTGCACTACCAAAAGGATGGTTGAAACCCTATGGATAATGGCATAAACCACCTATCAACTGGTGCAGGAATTCTTCCATCCACTGTAGTACGCCAAAAACACTGAGTTTTTAGAATGAGTTTTGCTGTGTCAAATTCATGCTATCAACCGCGAATCAGGGAATACACTTGAAACTTTAACAAGTGGTAATTATAGTACCCCCCCAGCGCCCACAATTCAGTATTCCAATCTAGTTTTTGACGCCGCCATAACCGAACGAATATCCATCATCCCTCATCCAAATATCAGCCTGTGGCGTCCGAGGTTTTCATCGATAACGTCACTGATGGCAGTACCAAAAAGAGGCGCAATGGCGCAGAGATCACTGAGAGTACTGTGCATTGCGCCATGCCCCGGGAGCAAAGGTTGGTGCGTAGTAGTGTAATTATTGGATGGATATATGATTATATATATATATTTATGATGTTATATATTAAATGTTTATGTATGTATATATATATATACATATATATTGTGTGTGTTTATTTATATAGATATGATATGTGTCAATGGTATACGTTTAATTATGTACAAAATCTACGTATATGTTTAATGGGATGACTTCAGAAAGCAAACAAAGTATATCCAGGTCGCACCAAATTGTAGGGATCAGCTGCATGATATTGGGACATGTGAGAACCTGTGAATTTGACGGAATCTAGTCGGGATTGATTATGGATTATCCAGAGGGTGTTAAAGGGAGTAGTGATTTCCTTATGTTTGCCAGCTTGTAAGTGAGCATGACCTACTGATACTGGAACCGACTGCATTTGGATGATCAAAATAATGATTGTGGATTTTGATCATCATGCTCCCCCTATTAACATGCACATGCACACACACACACACACTAGAGCAAAACTTGATCACTATCGTAATCAGTTGGGAGTTGAATCCCATCATGCAAAACCAAACATGAACTTCGAGCCTATATACATAGATCTTCGAGGAAAACATGTAAGATCTTCCAAAGAACAATGCTGATCATCACGAACATGTTCCTGATAAAGTGGATATACAGAGTGGGCTACATATAACAATCGGTAACAAAATAAATCAGATTGCGACAACTGTGCGAACCATGGATGAGTGTGAAAAGAACGGCAAGGTGGTTCTTGGGTTAGCCACTTCCCATCACGGACAGAGTGGGTTGAAATGAAATACTGTAAATGAACATAGCAGGTAAGTCGATCCAGCGTCCCCGATCGATATCACAGCAAGCTTGGAGCGTCTTGATTGAGAGGTGACTCCAGAATGCCCACCACCCCCCTGCGAGAATGCAACAGATACAAGTTTTACCTGCTGAGATGTTACACACACAAGCACACACAGACACACACGCGCGCGCACGCCATTTTCAAACACGCGCAATAATCATGTTTGTTGAATAATTAACTATGTATAGACATGTGTTTAATGTTTATATATATATATATATGCACGAATAAAGCCGATGATGATTGTTTAGCCTCCATGCATGGATGATTTTCCCATCCAAACCCCTACTAAAGCAACTTTAAAATCATTTTTTTGGCCAGGAAAACAACTAAAACTCTATATAATTGTCCCATTAAAATCAGACACAATCCACCATTGTGGATGAACATCTCCATGATGTCCCCAAAAAAATGTGGCAAAAATATCCCAAAAAAAACGCTATTCAATCCCATGAAATCTATTAAACCATATGAAACTACCATGTTTCACCAGCCCATCCACAGGGACATGGCCATGGCTATTACAACTGGTGATTTCAATGCGAAGAGATACATTCAATGGGGTGGTTTCAGTACGTATAACATCTTATAACTTGTATTTTGGGCCATGATTGTATAATAAACTCCCCCAAATCACCCTTTTTGTAGGTGGTATAAACATTCCCAAATGGTTTGTTAATAATTTTTGTTTTACCCTCTGGTAATTTAACACAGCTATTGAAAATCACCATTTATAGTGAATTTTCCCATGAATAGCATGGCGATTTTCCATAGTTATGTTAAATTACCAGAGGGTACCTGCATCAATGAAAATACCCATTGTTTTGGGCCATAACTGCAGGCAACGTGAGCTCGGGGCCAATGCGCCCAGAACGGCCTGGGTCCTGTCGTCAGTCACTGGGACATCGGTGACGAATGTGACGAGGGGAGATTGTCTGTGTAAATGTCGATGTTTAGTGGAGCTTTTTGGGACGAAACCATAGGAAAATGGTGATTTAACCAAGAAAAATGGGGATTTAACCAAGAAAAATGGGGATTGAATGGCATTTATAGCTGATCTATGATAGCAAAGGTGGTGTATATCTCCAATGAATCTCCTATGATTATGGTTTATACTCACAATACAACTATACTATATTCATTGGGTTTATTACCCAAGCTACAACTGTCGGGCCCCAAATTATATGTTTAATGTGTGTATATACAATGTATATTTGGATGAATGATATTTACTTCACTGGGACGTCACAGGAATATGGGTTCCAAATTGACAGTACCTTGAGATATGTCAACGGTATTTTATTTACCAGTATTTAAAAATACAGTATTTATGTATATATATATACATTCAACTTGTTTTTACACATATGAACGCATTGACGCACGCACACACACACATATACTGTATATATATATATACATATATATATATACACATATATATATATACAGATGTATGTCTATTTGTATGGGCATTTGGAGTAGGTCTCTACCCCTACCTGGAAGCCACGCGTTCATTCGTACAGGAGGTTTAGCACAATAAAACGAAGCGTTTACCATCCAAGATATAGAGGTCATTGCGGTTCCGAGCATATTGAATTTCTATTGTTAATGTTATGTGCATTGAAAGTTATGTATGTTGCTTGTTCTAAACTTCACTTATTTACTTCAAGATTGTTTGCATTTTTTAAGTATCATATAAACTGGCCATGCAGCCAGAAATGATGACAAATCTTATGAAGATGGGGAGACAAGGAACCCCAATGATCAATGGTTACATGGTTAGTATGTCCATTTGTCGCGAGTCTTATTATCAGTTTCAGTTGTTACCGGCGAAACCAACATGGGGATTTAACCATGTAAGATGTGGATATGATGGGTATATAGGAGTAATGGGTATTTAGGCAAAGATGACCTAGCCGCTGGTGTCACTTTTGTATATTTTAATGTTCAACCATGTGACTGGTATGAGGATCCTCAATGACAAACATAGTTTTAGATGGGTTGAAACCACCAGTCTTGTATTGGTGAGTTTTTCCACTTTCCGCTGTTTCAAAATCTGACATGTGGACTGGCTAAGAAACCCTTGCTTCAAGTTTTACAGAGCCTCCTGGTTCAAAGTGGTAGAACTACACGGTAGGTGTGGATCTGTGGGTTGGGTTACCCTCTGGTAATTTAACATAGCTATAGAAAATTACCATTTTTAATGGGAAAATCCACTATAAATGGCCATTTTCAATAGCTACGTTAAATTACCAGAGGGTACTGTACCCTCTGAATCCGTTGAGCTGGCCTCGTTCCCAGGTGCTCCGACATTTGATTTTGAAGCTCGTCGGCATGATGATTCTGTGTGGAATCTGATCTTGGCAAGTTGCAGTAGCGCGGCCCCAAGTCATATTACCCTCTGGTTATTTTCCGTAGCTATCGAAAATGACCATTAATAGTGGATTTTCCCATTAAACATGGTGATTTTCCATGGCTATGTTAAATAACCAGAGGGTAGTTGATTTATTTTCACCCATTTACTGATTTATACTGTAGACCAATATTGATACATTGATACGACCTCACTTCGCGACGTCACTGGAAATATGGTAATGACTGGGGTAATCACTATGGTTTTGGGCTTTGTTCCATGTGAATGAGGGCAAGATTTTATATTGAGAACTCCGGTTCATATCCCATTAATCACTTCCCCCCGGAATATAAAACACCCTCAGAAACCATGGTTGAGTAGGGGAATTCCACATAATTGGTACCATAGAGGTGTTTTAAATGAACAGGGGATGGGATTAATTACAGTTCTGGCTATTTATGGTATTCAATTGTCAATTTTTTTGCAGTTATCTGTTTTAACTGCTTATTTCTATGGGATTATACATTCTACCAATGTGCTTATTTCAGTACAAACATCACCATCTATAACCCAGCTGTTATAGTCAATAAGTACCATATAGTTACCATATACTTTTCATAAGTACCCTTTATAAAACAGTGACAATTTAGTTACCAGCCAGTTACCAGCCAGTTACCAGCTGTTATAGTGCGATATTTTGGGCACCTGGAGACCTCGGAGACCAGCGGACGACCAGCGGACGACCTGCAGGACCAACATCTTCCGGCGGGAGGCGGAAGACGAAGCGGCGGCAGAGGAGGACCAATCCGACAGCAACGGTTGGGGACGGGGATTGGACATGGAAATTTCCCATTTGGGATGTCAATAGTAAACCATTCAATGTGAAAATAATGGTCAATAGATGTCAATAGTGGGAAATAGGGAAAAATGTGGGAAATATGTGGTTAAAAGTGGTTTCCTATTGTTATAATGTGGTTAAAAAACTCCCATAATCTACCCATTTTCCTGGGAATGGTAAACATGCCAGCTATAAAAATTGTGATGACTGGGGGATGGTAAACATGGCATTGTTTTAACCACATGAAAAAATCCATGGCGGAATTCATATACATGAAATCAAGTAGCGCTAAGGCTGGATTTCGTGGAATACTGGAAAATATGTTTGGGCAATTTGAGATCAGAGATAATGGGCCATGTTATGGTCATTACAGGGAAACAGGAACAGACAAAAATATTATGGGATTTCGTGGAATGTATGCGCAATATTCCAAGGCAATGTGATATCATGAGAATATCTGTGATTTTAATGGGGGGTATACATCTGGATAATGCAAATAATTCAGCAGTTACAGTGATTAAATACGGTGATTTTTTTTTTAATGGGGATTCACTAATCACTGGATTGAAGGGAAACACGAAACCGGAGTCTCCCATGGTTTTTGGCTCCCATGAAATATGGGGAACCTCGGGTTTCCTGTAAAATGTTCCAAAAAAAACCATAGGAACCAACAAAATTACGGTTCTAGTTGGGGATATCATAGGGATATATGACCAATGATACTTGGGTCTGAAAAAGGAGTATCGTATAATCCCGAATGTATTATGACGCATGATGAACATTGATGAACCAACAGGAATGATGTGAAATTGTGATGGCGTATCATATGTACTATCGCAGGTTTGCTGATTTATATTGATTTATATATATATATAGAGTGCATTTTGGGTAAGTTGAGAATGATTTTGGGGACCACTTGGCCACTTGGAAGATCAAGTGATCTTACTAACCCTGGTTAGTACCCTCTGGTAAACTAACATAACTATGGAAAATCACATGTTTTTAATGAGAAAATCCACTATAAATGGGCCATCTATACCATAGCTATGTTGACATAACCAGAGGGTAAGTCCCCTGTGGCTTATGCTTTTCAAACATGTTTTTTTCCATCTCAGTGTTTCACGTTGTGGGCTTCGTTTTTTCTCCGTTGATGGGGCCCACCTGCGCCAGGACTTGTTAAAGAGCCCCTTGGATTCCATCAAAGTGGAGGTGAACTTGGCTATAACAATAACCCAAAAAAAGGCACGCCAGGCACGCCTAAGGTGATCTATGGCTTATTATATGTTACTGGCCTGTTATGGCCTGTGGTGATTATAGTAAAATTATTGAGCTATAAGAATTTTATAACCTATTGGGTCAATATTGTTGGGTCATTTTGGGAGGTTGCCACAGTCCGAATCAGATCCATTTTAGCAAGCCCAGTTCGAGGAGAGCCATGAGAGCCACCAACCGAAGCCGATCAGATTTAGCAGCCAGCTTGTTTCCTGTGCGGTTGTGAATATATATATATATATATTATATATTATATATATTATATATATTATATATTATATATATTATATATTATATATATATTATATATATTATATATTATATTATATATATATGTATTGAGCTAGCTGTGTTGTGTATAGTAGGTTTTTACTCCTAACTGGAAGCCACACTACCCTTCATGTGGAGGTTTAGCTCAGTGAAATGGATGATTGACTATCCAGATAGGTCTTTGGGGTTCCAGGCATATTGTGTTTTTAATGTTTATATACATACAAATATTATGCAAAGACATAGGTATGTTACATGTTATAAACTCCAATCTTATCCGTATCTAGGCCCTCCAAATCTTCCCAAAACGGTAAAAGTACAAAAACTATGGAGTAACATACGTTTTGCAAAGGTATTTGAAGGATCTAAGCCTAAGTTATACATATCAAATCATATCATTTTTATGTATATATAAATATATACTGTATATATTATATCATACATTAATATTTTCATGCACATCATCGTCACATTGTCCGATTTGTTCTACATCAGCCGGCGCGCTTTGTTGCCATCGTCCAAGGTCAAGCCACAGGGGGTGGTGTGGACGTGGCGATTCCCTCGGCCCGGCGGCGCTCGAAGATTCTGCAGGCGATCTGCCATGGGGGATGATGGGGCCATGGATGGATGGATACCGTTTAAACATACAAAAAAACTATGGAAAATCCATATTTTTGACCATTAAACTGATGGTGATGTTTGATTTACCCATTAAAAATGGTGATTTAATTTACCCATTTTTTTTGGGGTAAATCAACTATTTCGACTGGGCCATTTCAACTATTTCAATGGCAAACTCTTTGTTTACCTGAGGGTAACATAGCTCCTGAAATCATTCAACACTCTAAACAATAAATCAACGAACTAAGTTTTTGCCATGTGAAAAATGGCGAACTGTTAAATTGCCGGTATGATCAACATGACGCCAGTGTAATTGTGTGTGTATGTGTTTGATGGTGATGTGTATAAAGTTTCAATATAGTAGACAATATAGATGTTCCCTATGATGTTAGATATACGGTAATATTATTTTGATGTGTGTGCGTTTTCTTTGCTGTGTTTTTTGAAAGAAAAACATCGATGATCAGTTTGAAATATGTTTTGTTTGTTCACATAGTTTTTATAACACATATATGTATATGTATAGATATTATACTTGGATACATTGTATCCCAACGACAAGGCTAAAAACGATGCACTTAGTCGACACTATGTGGTGACCCAAAGGGGAAACCACACAGATGGACAGATGGTTCTCGTGTTCTTAGAATTAGTTCATAGTATTTTGGGAGTGCTGAATGGTATTTGTTCATTATATTTCGTTTGAGGACTTATTGCTCATATATGTTCTGAATCATTCCTGAATGGGAGCGTAGCCATGACCCAAATTATTTACAGTAATCATCAATGCCTTCCATCAAACACGCTTTACGGGAACTTGGTTGTGTATTCTTCAACCAAAGTCATGCGCGGATGATTGGGATAGTGAGTCTGAGCGACTGTCCACTGTGTAAGCATTGATTGCATGTTGCATGGGACATACCATGCCCGGGTAAACATGGGCAGCCAACGGAAGTGGTGCAAAAGTTCAAAAGTTGATGGGGGCTTGCGGATCATGAACTCGCCCCGGCATGGTAGCCTCCAAGAAAGATAGAAACATGACATATGTTCGAATTCATTTTGCTGGGGTTGTTTAAGGTTGTGTTCTATTTTCCCAATGGAACATCCACCTTGTGTTTTTATTGGGGGGACCTTTAAGCAAATCCAAGTCTAGCAGCGTTGGTACGGATATGAACACTGCCGTGCAGCTTCCTGGGAACGCCGCTTCAGGGTGAGTTTCCCATGTGTTTTCCACCCCTTATAATTCGATGTTTGTGTATATATATATATATAGAGAGAGAGAGAGAATTATATGTTACTTGTAATGAGTCAAACAGGTTCGCTGCAAGCCCTAGGTTTGCCCGCGGCGAATCCCGCATATCCTTTGACATGCTCAAATCCCTTGGAAGGGTTTAAGTTGTGTACTTTCCAGAACAACAAACCGTAAAACCCTAAAACCTAAAACCCTAAACCCTAAATTAAAACCCTAAAACCTGAAAACTCAAAGTCAATATCGCTGCGTATAGCCAGTATTTTCATTCATCCTTTGGTGATGCGTATATCATATTGTTTAGATGTGTTGTTTGAGTGTGAGCGAACTCCGGGGTTTGGAGGGAACAGGTTTAACATATACAATGAGAAGCCATCAGATTTAAGTTTGCCCGGCATCACGACGACTGTGCTGACAGCAGTGCCGCCAGGAGAAGCTTCTGAAAGTTCAGGAGGGGCTGCAGAATGGTGGCCGTTCAACCGCTTCAACCACACCAGTTGAACTGTTCATCTATCTATCTGGTAAACAAAACTAATCTATTGAAAATGGCAATGTTTGAAAGGTAAACCATCTATAAATGGGATATTAATGGGATATACCCTCTGGTAATTTAACATATTACTATTGAAAATGGCCCAGTCGAAATAGTTGATTTGCCCATTAATAGCATGGTGAATATATCCATAGTTTTTTTTTTGTAAACGTTTACCAGAGGGTATCTATCTATGTGTCTATTTGCCTTTTTCTCTTTCTATACATGTGATTTTATTTGTCTATCTATCTCTCTTATCTCTCTTATCTATCGTATCTATCTTATCTATCGTATGTATCTTTTCTATTTGTTTGATCCTATCTATGATGGATAATCCATCTCCCTATTTTTCTTTCTGTCTATCCTGTATCTATTCCGTGCCTGCCTATATATCTATCTATTACCTATATATCTATCTAATCTATCTATCTATCTATCTAGCTATCTAACTATCTAACTATCTAACTATCTAACTATTTAACTATCTAACTATGTAACTATGTATCTAACTATCTAAACTATGTAAATATCTAACTATCTAACTATCTGTCCGCTTGTCACCGTTTGTCCGTCTTTCTGTCTGTCCGTCTGTCCGTTTGTCCGTTTGCCCTGTCCGTCTGTCCGTTTGTCCGGGTACCCCTAGTCATAGTCCACTGAACATTTAAGATCATTATCCTTACCCTCTGGTAAACTAACATAACTATGGAAAATCACCATTTTTAATGGGAAAACCCACTATAAATGGCAATGTTCAATAGCTTTTTGTATGTTTACCAGGCCGGGTAAATGGCATGTTGGGTGATATCCCCCACAGTAAGACAAACCAATGTATTACAGACATGGGTTCAATGGATGGATCACATATCCCGGCAGGTACCATGAGGGGAACCCCAGTTTTGTCTTAGCTATAAGTATCAACTATAGTATTATAAACCATACCTAGTTTATGAACATTTATGAACCATCTATAGTATTATAAGCCAGTTACAATGTGAGGCCCCCCAGTGATTAGTTGGTTTATATATAAGCCCCAGGAATACTATAGTTATACATACCATAAACCATAGTTATTGTAGTTATCAACCAACTTAGCTATCTTGGGGCCTCACATTGTATCATAAACCATAGTGAAAATGGAGTTATAACCCCAAGAACTCAGCTATCATAAATCAGCGATTATTGTTGTCATGATTGTTGGTTAAATCGCCATTTTCCGATGGTAACTGGGGGCAAACATCAACATAGAAATACACTAGACATTCGAGCTAGTGCCTTCGCTAGTTCGTGGAACCGCCACCGAAGACCTCCTGGCTCAGTGCCAGGCTTTGTATGGATACAATCCTCACACCACTCAAGAACCTCGGCCAATGGATCTGCTGGGTGGGTAAAGGGCCCATGGTTCAAACTTACCCAGTGATATACTCCATTCAAGAAGATAGGCTGGTGATTTAGATCGTTGCCCTGTGATTTCATGTGATTTCCAAATATTCCCAGTGACCATTGTCTTTGGATATCCCCATTTCCAACGACTACGGATGTCTTTGGATATTCCCTGTGATTTAGGTGAAAATCGGGAAGTTGGCAGGCCCCGATTTCAGCCCATGGGATGTCAACATGATTGTAGTCAAAATCAAACATATGGAAATATCCTCTGGTTATGACATTCACAGTTCGCCATGGTAGAGCCATGGCCCTAATCGAAATAGATGATTTACCTATTAAACATGGTGATTTTCCACCATTTATAGATGATTTACCGTTCTTAATAGCATGGTGGATCTTAACCCATGGCGTTTATGTTAGTCATAACCAGATGGTATATTTCTGCAGATTTTTCTGAGATCATTCCATCGGTATAGATGATGCCCTTGGCATCCCTTGGGTAAAAACCATGCCATGTAAAGCCACACATGACTGGGAATGGTGAATTTATACCACCTATTTTTATCGGTAAAAATTGTATGATTTTTTTATGTTACCTACATCATTGTCTATTGATCGTAAACTTTTTGAATATAGCTATTGAATGAGCTTCCAATATATCCAATAGGTCTCCAATCACATACCATTTGAATGGCTATAAAGAACCGGTCTTCTCTTTCAATCTCTGGTCTATCAGTATATGCCTTGCTTACGTCATCTTCATGTTTCATTATTGACACCCCGGATTTTGTGCTGACCATAGGGCAATAATGGATGCAGGTTAGTTGCTGGGAAAATCATCGAATGGTGGGAAAATCATGGGAATATGCTGGGCATAAGAAACATTTATAACATTTTATACGCATCTATCATTCTGGATGAATGTTTTTTGGAGAATACCTATTTCGTAAATGGAGAGGCCGGGCATCGGGGAGCGACCCAGCTCAGTTTCAGCTCAGGATCCACCGGGTGGTGCACCCGAATCAGCTGAGTTGGTCTATGAACCCATCGAAGTAAAGTCTAGAGTAGCGCACGTACATATATAATTTTATAATATATATATAATATATGATATCTAATTGTATCCACCAACTTAGCTATAAAAGTAGTAAACTTCTAAGTTTTGTTAGATCACCATCTCTGTTGGTCAAACCGTGCTTAACCCCGATTTTGTCAGTCGGTTTCCCGACAAAGCGCCAATGTGATTGGCCAAATCTCTATGGTAGATGCTTAAATGTCATTGTTAACCATCATTGACCTTTTATAAGCCCCTCGAAAGAGGACTACCAGTAACAACTATGAACCATGATATCCCCAATTACAGACGATTTCCCAAGAAAAGCCGACCTTACACCACGTGATGACCTTCATGAAATCACCAAAAATTAAGTCATGATGAACCACCATTTACCCTCTGGTAAACGTTTACATAACTATGGAAAATCACCATTTTGGGAAAACGCACTATTTCAATGGCCATTTTAATAGCTATTTGGACATAACCAGAGGATAACCACCATTCTTGGATTTTTCCAATGGGAAATCCACGAGACAGTTCACAAATCCAAGTTATACATCCCTGTTGGTTGGATATAATACACACACCACATTAAACCACCATCAACATGATCATGTTGGTTAATGGTGGTTCAAAATTGTGGTTAATAGTAGTAAATAATGGTTAATAATGGTTAATAATATGGTTAATGATATATATATATATAGGTTGGTGGTTTGGAACATGACTTGTATTTTCCCCAATAGTTGGGATGATGATCCAATCTGACGAACTCCTATTTTCCAGGGAGTATGTATCTATCTAGGAATACACATACAGTACAGTATTCCTATTCGATATCCCTACAATGTGAGGCCCCCCAGTTACAAGTTGGTTTAGATTCGACCCAGTAACTATAGCTATAAATACCATAAACCATAGTTATTGTAGTTATAAACCAACTTAGCTATCTTGGGGGCCTCACATTGTATGAAATCACCATTTTTCCCACTGATGTCCCACGTCACCGAGGAATACGACGAACTGACGGCCTCCATCCGCGCCGACATGTCCACACGCAACGTCCAGGTGACCCGCGGAGCGGCTCGGTTTGGCTTCACCGTTGGGTTTCACCGACTGGACAGCACTTTTGAATAGGATAACCATGGGAAATGGTGGATGGGAAATGGTGATTTAATGGTGGTTCAACCAACAGAATCCCACAGAAATGGAGGACTTAGCCAGACTTAGCCAGCCAAAAACCATGACCGCCGAACTCTTGTGGTTGGTTGGTATGACAGTATGATTCAACCAGATGTGGGGTTCCAAAGTCATGGGGGTACCCCACTAGCTGGATGGTTTATAATGGAAAATCCAGCTGAGATGGATGATTTCTGGTAAACCCCCATTTTAGGCACCAAATGGAGGATTTCACATGACTCCACCAACCAAAACCATGAGTTTTTCTTTACCAGAGAAAAACTTCATTTAAGATCATTTAACCAATAAACATATGGTAATTTACGTAATAACAATCGTGGTTTTAACCAACTTTTCCATATGGGGGATCATGAGGAGTTATCCAGCAAGTCACTAGGTGTTGAACATGAGTTAACCAAAAGTATTTGATTTATGATAGATAAATTGGGGTTTCCTAAAATAGGGGTACCCCCAAATCATCCATGTTAGTAGGATTTTCCCGTATAAACCGTCCAGCTATTGGGGATCCCCCATGACTTTGGAAACCCCCATATGATGTGATAGATCTGACATAGTTGGACAAGTTATAGGCCAAACTGTAACTGGCCCCCGCTCCATATTGTGCTATGTTTGGTGGACAACAAATCATGGAAAGGGGAAATCATGGAAACTCATGTTTATCCCTGGTGAAGTATGTGTTATTGGTTGGTTAAAGATGTCTTTCAACATTTTTATTTGTCAAATCCATCGTTTTCTTTATAAACTTAGACAATTATGTGGTTTAAACAAACAAACTTGATTTCGAAAAAATCCCCCAGTTTACTCGTTGCTGAACCAACAATGCTTTGGAAATAAACGCTAATGGGAATATATAATGTTTCAGGGCGGGGATCGCTCCCCATGCATTGGTTTTGGTGTTCATGTTCTTTCCAGCCTGAGTGACCATCAAGAAGTCTTTGGGTAAAACTATTCCAGCGTCCTCCTAGGCAGCCGGGAACGATTCTTTGTTTTTTGTGTTTTTTGTGCCCCCTGTTGTGGCCCTTTACTCTTTACCGGGTGTAAGTGAGTTTTTATTCCATTTGTGGAACGGCAACAATTATCCAAAACCATGCGTAGCCATTCACACTTGGTAAAGAGCTTTACCTGCAGAGAACTCAGGAGTTCAATCACTGGCTTTCCACAGAAAAGGAGCTACTGGAAACTCTGGCCGTGCCTCGTCGTGAACGGTGAACGGCGGTTCACCGGAGCTGGAATCGGAGCTGGAAATGGACAACCCGAAGGATTTCACACTGATATTTAGGTGACTTTCAGCTGTTTTTAACATGTTTTCGTTTGGTTTTTGCTGATGTTCTTCTGCCCGAGAAATCCAATGCTCTTCTGCTGATATTTTGAGGCAATGGTTTTCGGATGTGATTGGGACCCCTATTCATACTGGATCTGACTGGGATTGGATCCCTAGGACATCTAGGTAATGAGCGCATTAATTGCAATTGTTTGTTTGGTTTTGTCTTTGTTCCACTTGTTCCACTTGTTCCACTGGAGCTCTTGGGTATAAACCTTGCTGAATAATATATATATATATATTTATGTTTTGATGCATTATTTGTATCTATTTTTCTCATGTTCATGATGAGTACTATAGCCAGCTAGAAAAAATGCGCCCGAAAACTCCTGGTTTGATCAACCAACGCCTTGCCCGCATGGGAAACGCGGCTTGTGGCGTCCATCTGTGGGGATTTGGGGGGTCAACAAATGATATGTATCAGACTTATAGTTTAGTTGTACCACAGAGATGTATGTTTTAGTATACCGCGCATATGTATAATATATATATATGAACAATTTACATCACATAGACTAATAGAGTACCGACATACAGATACGGGAATTTGTAAATGTGCACCGCCAGTACCACCGACCATGTCTCAAAACATACAAGTTTGTGGTTTGTACCATGAACGCATGTAGCTTGCTCATCGGGATTGTTTCCCAAGCTTACATAGCTGAAGGCGGGTACAATATATGTCATCTGACCTATCTATATATTTACTCAATCTTTTTCCTTGTATCTAGGGTGTTGGATATGATAATCCCTGTTTTGCTGACGTGATGAAATCGTTACGTACTCCGATTTTGCTGGGCAAAATTCTCCATGGCACCAGTTTTTGGAATAAGGAAGAAGCAATTATGTGTCTACTATATATATATGTATATTGAATTTTGGCACTTTACTTGGACAATAGTTTCACATTTCAGCATATCCTCAGCATTTCTCAGCATCGCTCAAGGATGCTGAGATCGATTTGTCGTGCAAATCTGATTTGTTTGTAGCTCGGTGCTCGGGGTTGTGGGCAGGTCAGCCGTGTCGCTATTAGCACCTGAAATCTTAGATGGATTGTGTGACCCCCAGTCAACAGGTAAGTTAAGTTGGTTTTGAACTTTTGAACTAAGCAAACTTTTGGATGTATGATTAATATTGATTAATGGTGGGTACCGTAGAATTGGTTTACAAGCCAACTTCCCTAATCGCAGGATATGGATGTAAACGAGTCTAGGTCTGAACAGATACATATGTTTTTGTTTTTGATTCTACAGAGTAGAGTTTATAGGAACTCTTCCACGATTATATAAATTTTGATGTTGATATTATGTTTCTGTCCATATATATAAATAAATACAAATATATACAATATAATATATACATGCATAGATGTGCTGTGTGTACCGTGTTACATGATCATTCACTTGTCATGTTACAATGTGGGCCCGGGACATATGTTTAACTGTTGTTTTACACATGTTTCGCGATAGTTGTTGCATTGATGGGAAAATGAATCATGGTAAAATTGACCATGTCCTTGGATGGGTTTGAAAATATGGTTGATCATCAGGTTGCTTCCTAGCCTCTGGTACTGGTAATTTGTTATGGTTTGCGACATTGAAGCCATGGCCCAGTCGAAATAGTGGATTTAGCTAGCTAGATAGCATTGATAGCATGGTGGATCTTTCCATAGTTAAGTGGCTGTTTACCAGAGGGTAAATGGGTCAAAACCGGGGTGTCAATCCACATGTTTTCGCACAGGATATTGTTGGTTACATAATATCCCATGATATCCCATTATATCGGTGTACAAGTGCAGTCTCCAGTGTGTTGTTGCATATACCCATGAAATATCCCAATGAGTTAACCACCAGATATGGGATAGAACATATTAACATAACTCCGCGTACAGTTTATGATAATGAACCAACGTGTTATCATATCCCCACTCCAGCCCTGTATTTCAATGGCCATGACTCAGGAACCGATTTGTTGCAGGTACCTACCATATATAAGGCCTATATAACACCTAAATGGCAGGGAATATCCCAACAAAATATGACCAAAACTATGTTGACCAGTACCTCCATGTTAGGATCCTGAAATTCCCATTGAGTATTTGATGCTCAAAAATCGAGCCGCGCACCTCGAGGATGTGTTGGACGCGGATCTAAGTGGAGTGCTGGAGTTTGAAGAAATGACACACTGCTGCACTGCTTGGTTGGAGGTTTCTAACTGTATTCCTGGGTTTGTTTTTGGTGATTTGTGATTTTGTTCCCAACGTCCACCATTAAAATAACTGGAATCTCTATATATATATACACATTATATATATATACAAATAATAATATGTATATATATATATATGTGTGTGTGTGAATCAAGTGGGTGATCCTCCAAGGTCCTCCAAGTGTAGCATTTTGCCCTGCTGAAATCTGCCAGAAGCCCCGAAAGAGATGCAGAAAAGTGGCATGTACTCCTTTTGGAGGTTCGGATTGTCTGCTTTCCTGCATCTTTTTGTGGAGATTACTATATGATTTACAACAAACCCGGTATTTACTTCGATGATTTTCCCATTTGGATGTTCATTTAGTTCGGGGATTTCTTAGCTAGCCGCGTTTGATTACCATAAGGTGGTTTATAAACCCCATGAACATCAAGTTGTTTTTCCCCTTGTAACATCCATTAAGTATAGATACATCCAGCTGGCTTTGTGGTAGGGGCTGCTGGGCTAGACCTGGGTCGATGCCCAGCCACTGAAACAGAGGAGTTGGGATGCAACTACTGCAACCATCTAATGCAGGAGGTGGTTTTACATGGTTTTGCATGGTTTTCTAGTATCAAGAAATTAGATTGAAAATCTAATTGATCAATGGATTGGGGGCATTTGTTTGGAAATGAGTGAGATGATATACCAAACCGGCCGAAACCTATTCCCAGGGCATCCATTGCCCTTAAGGGAGTTGCCATAATTGCAGACAATCCCCATTTGTTTAAAGGTAAAATCAATTAACGCCATCTATAAATGCGCCATTGTCCATAGCAATATCATAAATTGCCAGAGGGTGACACCTTGTAACAACAGGGATCTCAATAGGATACCATGACTGAGGATCGATGGGCTGCTGAAATGTCTCTTGGCCTTGATTGTCCTTGGCGGTTCCCTTGGCATTTTCTTCGCATATGGGGTTTCCTAAAATGGAGGTACCCCAAAATGGATGGTTTATCATGGAAAATCCTACTAAAATGGATGATTTGAGGGTACCCTTAGGAAATCATCATATCTATCATGAATCCAATTGTTAGCCCAGATGCTGTGGAACTTGCCAATTGGCCTTAAAATACCATCCTCAGGGAGTGATGGTGATGAGATTCCCATGGATATGTAAGTAATGAGATGGCTCACTGTAACACTGGGGAATGAAAGTCAGGAAGTAAACCCAGTTTTTTTCCAAGCTGCTGCCTAGCTAAGTTGATATGCATATATATATAGAATCCCTATGACTAGCTCCGTTTTTTGTGGGGATAGGGGTAGGCATATCTACAATGCAGAAACCAACTTGTAGCCAGTTTCTTCGACTGAGGGGAATCCAGGGGGAACCATACTATTTGACCATCCGTATATACCCTCCGGTAAACATACACAAAGCTATTGAAAATGGCCATAGAAATAGTTGATTTTCCCATTCAAAATGGTGATTTTCCGTAGTTATGTTAGTTTACCAGAGGGTAAAGGTTTTCAAACATTTGGATTTGTGTTTCGGGTATTTATTCAATATATATATATATACATATGTATTTCTACACTGGAAATGTTAAATTTCCCAAACACAACATCTAGGCCATGTATTGATGAATCAAGGATCCTACTAACAATTACTGGAAAAAAAACAGCAAGGTTCTTTTCACATTTCATGGTGCTAAAGAAAACATGAGTTTTTTCCTGCATTACAGACTTGGATGACAGGACCATATCACTATATTTAACTGTAAACGGCCTTAAACACCATCATTTTCCTGCACATGTTTGCCGAATTCAGTTCATTCACCATCCATTCACCATTCATTCACCGTAAGATTCCCCATGCAGTTATAGCCATTCATGAGTTCTAACAAGTTATAACTGTTTTTTTTAGGATTATACACATTATAAATGGGGTGATTTCAGTAACTGCTCCCATGGTATTTTCGGAGGCAGAGGTCCCGCGTCTAAAACGGACATCATCGCCATCCGCTTGAAGACTCTTGGCGGGTCGACCCGTTGAGGGGATCGTTGATGATGCTTTAATGTAGTCACCACATCATATGGCTTCACATGGTACAATACCATACAAGACATCCATTTTAGGATTCATGTTATATCATTTTTAATATTTCCATATACTCCCCGGCAAATGAACAGTTCGACCCTGAAAATCACCCATTTTGAGTGGAAACTGATCTTTCAATCCCAATGCATGGCAGGGTCGAACTGTTAATTTACTGGAGGGTAATGTACTTTGATGATCTTTCATGTGAGTAAAACAATGATAAACCATCCTCCAGTCATCACCATTTTTTTAGGTGGTATAAACTACTCCCAACTTGTTGCTTTAATGTACATGAATGGTGGGTAAAACAATGCCATAAACCACCCATGACTGGGAATGGTTACCACCTATTAAATGTATCTTAATGTACTGGAATGTACTTCAAAGTGATGAAGATATAACCCATCAACATACTAGGGGTATCATATTAATGATGTACTTCAGTCCTTTAGTAGTCATACATTTGCTAAGGGTGATTTGTAAAGTTCCCAAGTTGATTCACCATTTGTGGAATCGACCAGCTCTCATCCCCTGTTTAATAACCACCATATCTTGGTGTTTTTTTCATGGAAAACAATGGGTTATTTGTCAGCTTGTATCACCACGCAAGTCAGCTTGAGCCAGGTCAGGTCATTTGTTGTGCAAGGTGAGGGGTTAGGAACTGTGTGAGAGATATAATTTGATATAACCCAGAACATGAGCGAGAGAGAGGACACTGGTTGTGATATTGGGCGCAGACAATGTAAAAGATACAGCAACCGTTAAATTGTTGCGGTACATGGTATATTATCACCATGTAAATGCTTCTGTGCCCCCATATTTTTGTCGGTTGAATATAGTAGAGTAACGCCCGAACAGATCAATAACTAACTTACCGCTATGTTTGTAGGATTTACCAACAAAGAAAAACACTTGCCGCCATTTCTGTAGGATTTACTGTTCTACCATTTTTTGGAGGTGTGATATATATATATATAAGTATGTATATATAGAAATATATATATATATATGTATGTATGTATATTTATCTATCAATATTATCTTATTTCATTTTGTTTTTTTAAAAAATAACATATCTTATCTTATTTTATCTAATCTATTCTTATCTTATTTTATCTATCTATCGATCTATCGATCCACCCTATGCATAACACGATGTTACAGTACTAAGCTATCCAACCAGAGACAGCCGGCGAGAGAGAGAGAGAGAGAGCTGAACTGGTTTTGTCCAGAGGCCAACGAGCCCCTTCTGTTGCAGTTTCTTTTTCTGCATGGTAAGATTGGCATTGAATGATGATTTTATTGGAGAAAATCATAATACTACAATGCACTAGACCAACAGGGTTTGCAGTAGTTGCCTTCTTTTCGTCAGACAACGCACATCATTGCACATCATGGATGCCTGGAGATCCATCAGTTCGGATCTGATATGAACTGACTCTTTGCTTCTCTCAGGACCAGCTTACTTGTGAACATGATGACGCGTTTGTGTCGCCACATGGGCGTAGACGGCATCTGAAGCTGAACGCGACATGTGTGGCTTCACTGCAGAGGGGTTTCCCAAGGTGAAACCCTGAGAAAAATTGCATCATATTTGGTGTTTTCATCTGTTTTGCATGGCTTTTGAGGAAGATGTGCAAAAACACATTGGTAACGCATAGTATGCATTTATTTATATTCTCTTGAATGATTTGCTTATTGGGCAATTATGGTTTCTTTCAGGGGGGCATCATCTAGAATTACAACGTGAACTAAGTTTGTCTATAGCTTTGTTCGCTATGCCGTTTGCTACTACAATAACTATAACTAAGTTTGTTTACATCTTTCGTTTGCTATTGACATACATCTATGACTAAAACTAATTACATTAGTATGTCAATAGTTGATGTTATATTAATACAACATCAATTGTCAATGGGGTGTTTGAACCAACACATGAAGGGCACCATCCTAAGCCAAGGTGAAAAGTCGCGACATGTTTTGAGCTGATAAGGAGCTTGAAATGATACGTGTAGCGTAGCCGCTATGTCATTGCCGTAGCCAAAAAACATATCTTCACAGGAAATCATATTTTATGGATCACTGAAGAAGAAAGGCTTTTGGGAAAATTCCGGTTGCGCCCATTTCTGGGAAAGATATGTAGCAATTGTTCATTTTGATACTATAAACCTTGCTAAAATGGTGTATCAAAAGAACCATCAATGCAGGTCATCATCCCGGCCTGGGCTTCGATATGCCCAGTTGGATTGATCCGATCCTGTGAATCAAACCCGACCAACATGGTGATGCACTACATTGTTCCAGTTTTTGAGGGATTTCCTCTATATATATATATAATGATAATCTCTTTTGTCTCAGTCGAAAGGGATCTTTTTTGACGGTGAAAAACCGCCAGTGATTCTTCACCGAGGTTGGATCCTATTATTGCCATTGCTTTCCAGCCTCCCGCGGCTCGCTACGAGCTGAGAGACGTCGATTTCGAAAGACCTGAACCAAAGTTTTGGCTGTTTCGGATCATGGTCCAAGGGTTGGTTTGAGCAGTGACTTAACTTTCAGCTATCGATCTGGAAATATGTGGATAGATTGTAACGATATCTTAGAACTTCTAGCTTTTGTGGGGCAGGTTGATGAACACCAGCAAAAAATGACACTTAAGCAGCTTAAACAGGAGTGATTGTTCAAGGAACTCTCCGGTCGCTTGGCCACATGGCTAGCTGCGAAGGCTCTAGCAAACCATGTTTCATTGCCAAAATTCCAAATATCAGTTTAGTGTTCATTGCTCATGAGCTTTCAGCAATACAGGCCAGTCCCTTGCTGGCATGAGAAAGAGAAGCAGGATACGACAATTTGGGTGATTTCCAACGACCACACTGATGACGGCATTGGAATGATAGTAGGTGTCATCACTATTCCAAAACCACCGTACTTCCCATGCTCATGAGCTGGCCACTGTGCAAATATAGTTGCTCCACTCATCCAAAGCAACGGAACCAAGTAAAGGGAATTAGGACACAGTTATGGTCATTTATTAGTTTATAACTGGTTATAAATGGGATTATACATTCTGCAAATGGGGTTATAAGTACTGATAATTGGTAAAAGGGCCATAACTGCAGCATGTGATTGTAGTTGCTCGGCACTGCGAGGCTGATTCATTCTGGTGCTGGATCCAAAACGGACCCCACTTACAAGCCATTTACCAATGGACCCCTCAGTTTTTTTTGGTATTTGATCGGGGGCCCTTGTTGGGGGTATTTAATATTCGGGGCCACTAGATAATTGGCTACAAACTGTGGTAAAGCCAAATAGCAGTAACCTTCCAGGATCATCTATAGTGGATTTGCTTGCATATGGAAAGTTATCTCCTAGCCAAGTAGTCTCCTAGCCTATAGGCAAGCACATTGAACAACTAGTTGTTCTTTAATTATTCCCATATACTCCATGGTGCTGGCATATTTACCTACAAAACTGGGTGATTTTGTTCGGGCAAATGTTGAGATTCATATTCCCATGGAGCATATGGGATTTGTAAGTTGTAAGTAATCTCCCTCTAAGTGTCCCTTGTCGCACATTTACCACCAGTTTGTTCAGGTCTTTCCTCGCAGAAAAACCCCTTTCCTTGCCATCGCCAGCACCTGTCGCGTCAGCGACAAATTGTTTAGGTGGAATAGCTAGATCTGTGTTTGAGGAAATCTCATACTGAAAATGAACAGGGAGATTTAAATCCTAGATTTGGGGGGTTGAACATGGGCCCAGGTAGAGCGACAAATGTGCTTTGAACACATTTTTTTTGGATTGGTCATGGAGGTAGTGAATGATTTTGCAACTGGACAATTTACCTAAACATAAGTGGGCATATTTCATGGGTTAGTCAGTTAGTTCGTTCAGTTGCCAATTGCTGAAAAAAAAAACATGCAATGCTTTTCGGTACCCAAACATTGACACAACATGTGTGAACATCAAGGTGGTCCCCTCAGTTGTTCACGGCTATTGGGGCCCCACAGGGACATGGCCATGGCTATTAGTTACAACTGTTATTTCTACAGGATTATAGATTCTATAAATGGGGTTGTAAGTATTGATGACTGGTATTTCGGGCCATAACTGCACTATGTACTTAGTAAATTGCAGTGACAAAAAATCGTGTGCCCTGACGCTCCGAGTGCGGCTTGTGCTTTTTTTCTTCACTGCCCTGTGCCGAAGCCGGGCGTGCGAAAATCGCTCGCAGTGATGCAATACCCAGACGGGGTTGGTGGTTGGATTTGTGGGGAACACTGGGAATCGATAATTACTGTAGTTGGCACATGCGGCACAAGGAGAATCAAGGAGAGTTAGCTCACTTATGATATTATGATACTATGATACTATGATTACTGGGGTTAGTTCGTAGTTATAACGACAGTTCGATTATGTTAGATAAACCTTGATAAAACGACTTATATCTCTGGGGGGGCCACCTTGACCTTTCAATACCTATAGCCAAGCAATCCCTTGGCCATGTTATTGAGATTCACACTCAGGTAGTCATGCCTTGTAGAAAGTGATGTTGTTGCTTTTCATTGGGAACGATGGTCCCAACCCATGAAATCTTGATGTACAGTAGGTGCTGAAAAAATGCACAAGTGACTATCCACATCTATCCACAGAAGCCATTGGTTGGGGCCCCTCCAATGGGCCAAGATAGCCAAGTTGGCTGAGAACTAGGCCAAACCAACAAACATTGGGGGGCACCACCCTGTAGCATCGTTGCCACATTATGCATATGGATTCTTGTTATCCCTTTACTGGTTGGCTGTTTGGAACATGAATTTTATTTTTCCATATTTTCGGAATGTCATCATCCCAATTGACTTTCATATTTTTCAGAGGGGTAGGTATACCACCAACCAGATCATAATTGTTTACTTTAGAGGAATCATCCCCAATTGGCAAGATTAACCAGGTTAGTGAAATATGAATAAATATGATAATTTGCCCACGTATATCCATGTCGATGATGAAGAATGGATATGACATCATTTTATATAGCATCGAATATGAGTATTATATAATGATTGTAACGTCGAATATGGTGGAATCGTCAAATGGAACATATAGATGTGGGGTGGTTCTTAAAATGAGGGATCTCCAAGTCACCCGTCACCAGTCATTGAATCTATGGGGTTATTCATAATAATCAAATATTAATGGGCTTATAATTCAAATATTGTTATTATATCAGTTCAATCAACTATAAAAAACCCTCCCAGCCATGGATCCATGGGCCAACCACCGATCGGCATCAATCGACGCGGACCGGGGAGGCGATATCATGTTTGAAATAGGAACGTCATTAATTATTTGGTGATATAACATGTTGAAGATGGAAAACAAGTTATAAATTTATGGATTTCATGGTGGATTTCATGGTGAAACCCATATTTTCCATGGGTTTACCTACGAAATTGCCTGATGTTTGGGGTAAATGATGGTAAATATTCCAGCACCATGGAGCATTCGGGATGTATTTCATTGAGGAAAACCTGAATGAAAACGGTCCATGTCTATCTGAAGAGAGCCCGTTGGAACTGTGTTTCCTCAGCTCTGAAATTTTACCGTGTTCCCTTGTCCCGCCGGCAGATTTCAAAACTGTCGTACCATAAAGCACGGTCGTTCCGAAGTGTGTGGCGTGGCAGTGTTCCGGCCATAGTCCATTCGAACTCTTGTTGCAACCTGTCAAAGTCGAGCTTCGATTGGCTTTCAGTGGAACATTCGAGGTGCCACAGCATTCCATAGCATTCCCTAGCTATGTTTGGTGGTTTATAAAGCCAGCCCATTCATTAACTATAGACTGGTTGGTGGTTTCAAACATTTTTGATGCTCCATAATATATGGGATAATCCTTCCCATTGACGAACTCCATCATGTTTCAAGATGGTAATTGCACCACCAACCAGATAGATATACCCACAAAAGACCAAAGAATTCACCTTATGTTTGCCAAGGATTGGGAGCACCACCTTGTTATTCTGGTGATGGTGGATTTCACTAGCAGCTTCTGTATTCCAGACTGTATTCTGCATTGGTTGCATAGTAAGCCTGCTCAGTTAACAGTTGCTGCGAAATCTGAGGTTACCCCATTGAGAAACCTGTATGGATTTAGTCATAGACTCATAGACCAAACATGTGCTGTTGATTTTTTTATTTGCGGTGGGATGGATTTCCCATGGGATTTCCCATATATTCAGCATGTCTTATTTGAATGCATTTGATCCGAATGGTGCGACATGGTACGCTCAGTTGTCGATGAATCCCAAACACACTACTACCGTGGCCACCGGCCAAGTTCGGGGGCACAGGTCAGTAGGGTTGAGTCAGACCGAGCCGGAGTTGCTTTGTGAGGATGACAAGTTGGCTAACCTGGTTTATAGCTATATGATGCTAAATGATACCTATAGTAGTTGGAACTGCAGTTAAATTCTAGTAGTTAGAACTACAGTTAGATTCTAGATGAGTTTATAAACCATCATTTGGGGGGCCCACCTTGTACAACTACAAGAGGGTTTTGGATGGGTTGACAGTTGACATCGGGAAATGTTGATGTTTGGGGACCACTCGAGAAGAAAACGACACGTGTGGTCAGCACATGCGAGATTTGCACAGAAGAAAACCACTCTGTTGGCGAGTCTTGTTGTTCGATCAGGGGCTGAGGTGTCAAAAGCTTTCAGGTTTTTCTATATAATGTATATGATTGTGGATGTTATATTGAGACTGCAAGGAATTGATACTATTACAGGGGCCCCAAAAACGTTTGCAAACTTGGTTGAACTAACTATGACAACTGAGGCTTATAGCAGTCATAACTAGACTTAGACACTTAGATGGATTTATATACCAATACGTGTGGGGACATAGCTTGGGAGATGATTGGGTTTATTGATAACTAGTATGCATTGTTCAATTCTGTTGTGGGGTTTGTTGCTATACCGTGCTATACATTGTTATGCCATGTCTTTCTCATGGGAACATCTTACCCCACCAACTAACGTCATCTAACATTGACCATCATAGCCCTCGCCAAGTTTTTCAACGGGGGCTCGCTGTCAACCCGGCCATTCGGGGCCGTTCTGGAGGTCATTGCTATGCAAGATTCTTTTGACTTATAACCCCATCCAACCGATCTAACTACAGTGATGACAGTTATGAGTACGAACTAAACCCTAGCTATCATAGTTCAACCAACTTAGCTAACGTTTTGGGGCCCCACCTCGCAGGCCTGTCATGATGTTGCTAAAACTGAAACATCCCAAAGCAACTTTCCTATGTCTCATTGCACCAGATTCAATGCGGCCGGGGTCGTTTTGGGGTCATGCAGCAAGCCTTGGCCAAGAACTCTGAATTGCAACTACAACCGAATGGTACTCCAATGGTCAAATCAGCGTCCTGGCGATTCGTTCGATATATATATATATATACTGTATATATAGCCTATAAACCCAACAGTTATTGGA